CGTGGTGTCTCCGTGGTGTCTCCGTGGTGTCTCCGTGGTGTCTGCGTGGTGTCTGCGTGGTGTCTCCGTGGTGTCTGCGTGGGTCTCCGTGGTGTCTGCGTGGTGTCTGCGTGGTGTCTCCGTGGTGTCTGCGTGGTGTCTGCCGTGGTGTCTCCGTGGTGTCTCCGTGGTGTCTGCGTGGTGTCCTCCTGGTGTCTGCCGTGTGTCTGCGTGGTGTCTCCGTGGTGTCTGCGTGGTGTCTGCGTGGTGTCTCCGTGGTGTCTCCGTGGTGTCTGCGTGTGTCTCCGTGGTGTCTCCGTGTGTCTCCGTGGTGTCTGCGTGGTGTCTCCGTGGTCTGCGTGGTGTCTGCGTGGTGTCTCCGTGGTGTCTCCGTGGTGTCTGCGTGGTGTCTGCGTGGTGTCTGCGTGGTGTCTGCGTGGTGTCCTCCACGGGGTGTCTCCGTGGTGTCTCTGGTGTCTCCGTGGTGTCTGCGTGGTGTCCTGCGTGGTGTCTGCGTGGTGTCTCCGTGGTGTCTCCGTGGTGTCTGCGTGGTGTCTGCCGTGGTGTCTGCGTGGTGTCTCCGTGGTGTCTGCGTGGTGTCTGCGTGGTGTCTCCGTGGTGTCTGCGTGGTGTCTCCGTGGTGTCTGCGTGTGTCTGCGTGGTGTCTGCGTGGTGTCTGCGTGGTGTCTCCGTGGTGTCTCCGTGGTGTCTGCGTGGTGTCTCGTGGTGTCTCCGTGGTGTCTGCGTGGTGTCTGCGTGGTGTCTCCGTGGTGTCTGCGTGGTGTCTCCGTGGTGTCTCCGTGGTGTCTGCGTGGTGTCTGCGTGGTGTCTGCGTGGTGTCTGCGTGGTGTCTCCGTGGTGTCTGCGTGGGTGTCTCCGTGGTGTCTCGCGTGGTGTCTGCGTGGTGTCTCCGTGGTGTCTCGTGGTGTCTGCGTGGTGTCTCCGTGGTGTCTGCGTGGTGTCTGCGTGGTGTCTCCGTGGTGTCTGCGTGGTGTCTCCGTGGTGTCTCCGTGGTGTCTGCGTGGTGTCTGCGTGGTGTCTCCGTGGTGTCACCGTGGTGTCTGCGTGGTGTCTCCGTGGTGTCTCCGTGGTGTCTGCATGGTGTCTGCGTGGTGTCTGCGTGGTGTCTCCGTGGTGTCTGCGTGGTGTCTGCGTGGTGTCTCCGTGGTGTCTCCGTGGTGTCTGCGTGGTGTCTCCGTGGTGTCTCCGTGGTGTCTCCGTGGTGTCTGCGTGGTGTCTCCGTGTCTGCGTGGTGTCTGCGTGGTGTCTGCGTGGTGTCTGCGTGGTGTCTCTGTAGTGTCTGCGTGGTGTCTGCGTGGTGTCTGCGTGGTGTCTCCGTGGTGTCTGCGTGGTGTCTCCGTGGTGTCTGCGTGGTGTCTCCGTGGTGTCTCCGTGGTGTCTGCGTGGTGTCTCCGTGGTGTCACCGTGGTGTCTGCGTGGTGTCTCCGTGGTGTCTGCGTGGTGTCTGCGTGGTGTCTCCGTGGTGTCTCCGTGGTGTCTGCGTGATGTCTCCGTGGTGTCTGCGTGGTGTCTCGTGGTGTCTGCGTGGTGTCTGCGTGGTGTCTGCGTGGTGTCTGCGTGGTGTCTGCGTGGTGTCTCTGTAGTGTCTGCGTGGTGTCTGCGTGGTGTCTGCGTGGTGTCTCCGTGGTGTCTGCGTGTGTCCTCCGTGGTGTCTGCGTGGTGTCTCCGTGGTGTCTCCGTGGTGTCTGCGTGGTGTCTCCGTGGTGTCACCGTGGTGTCTGCGTGGGTCTCCGTGGTGTCTGCGTTGTGTCTGCGTGGTGTCTCCGTGGTGTCTCCGTGGTGTCTGCGTGATGTCTCGTGGTGTCTGCGTGGTGTCTCCGCTGGTGTCTCCGTGGTGTCTGCGTGGTGTCTGCGTGGTGTCTCCGTGGTGTCTGCGTGGTGTCTGCGTGGTGTCTCCGTGGTGTCTGCGTGGTGTCTCGTGGTGTCTCCGTGGTGTCTGCGTGGTGTCTGGTGGTCTCCGTGGTGTCTGCGTGGTGTCTGCGTGGTGTCTGCGTGGTGTCTGCGTGGTGTCTGCGTGGTGTCTGCGTGGTGTCTCCGTGGTGTCTCCGTGGTGTCTCCGTGGTGTCTGCGTGGTGTCTCCGTGGTGTCTGCGTGGTGTCTGCGTGGTGTCTCCGTGGTGTCTGCGTGGTGTCTCCGTGGTGTCTCCGTGGTGTCTGCGTGGTGTCTCCGTGGTGTCTGCGTGGTGTCTGCGTGGTGTCTGCGTGGTGTCTCCGTGGTGTCTGCGTGGTGTCTCCGTGTCTCCGTGGTGTCTGCGTGGTGTCTGCGTGGTGTCTCCGTGGTGTCTGCGTGGTGTCTCCGTGGTGTCTGCGTGGTGTCTCCGTGGTGTCTCCGTGGTGTCTGCGTGGTGTCTGCGTGGTGTCTGCGTGGTGTCTCCGTGGTGTCTGAGTGGTGTCTGCGTGGTGTCTGCGTGGTGTCTCCGTGGTGTCTCCGTGGTGTCTGCGTGGTGTCTCCGTGGTGTCTCCGTGATGTCTGCGTGGTGTCTCCGTGGTGTCTCCGTGGTGTCTGCGTGGTGTCTCCGTGGTGTCTGCGTGTCGTCTGCGTGGTGTCTCCGTGGTGTCTGCGTGGTGTCTGCGTGGTGTCTGCGTGGTGTCTCCGTGGTGTCTGCGTGGTGTCTGCGTGTCGTCTGCGTGGTGTCTGCGTGGTGTCTGCGTGGTTTCTCCGTGGTGTCTGCGTGTCGTCTCCGTGGTGTCTGCGTGTCGTCTGCGTGGTGTCTGCGTGGTGTCTGCGTGGTTTCTCCGTGGTGTCTCCGTGGTGTCTGCGTGGTGTCTCCGTGGTGTCTGCGTGGTGTCTGCGTGTCGTCTGCGTGGTGTCTGCGTGTCGTCTGCGTGGTGTCTGCGTGTCGTCTGCGTGGTGTCTGCGTGGTGTCTGCGTGTCGTCTGCGTGGTGTCTGCGTGGTGTCTGCGTGGTGTCTGCGTGTCGTCTGCGTGGTGTCTGCGTGTCGTCTGCGTGGTGTCTGCGTGGTGTCTGCGTGTCGTCTGCGTGGTGTCTCCGTGGTGTCTGCGTGGTGTCTGCGTGTCGTCTGCGTGGTGTCTGCGTGTCGTCTGCGTGGTGTCTGCGTGTCGTCTCCGTGGTGTCTGCGTGGTGTCTCCGTGTCGTCTGCGTGGTGTCTGCGTGGTGTCTCCGTGTCTCCGTGGTGTCTGCGTGGTGTCTCCGTGTCTGTTTGCCCAGCAGCCCGGGGGGTGAGGGCTGACGGCTGCCATACTTCACCGCCACCAACAGAGAGGGGAGGTCGGGAGTGGGGACTGCATTGGCCACTCGACACGTGTTTGTTTTATTGGGGGGGACGGGGACATGACTTGCAAATCCCCCGCGGTATTATATTTTGCAGTGTCATGAACAACGTTTTTTTCCACCTTTCACTGTATTTTAATTTTTACAATGCTGTGAATGCCACAGACCCTGGCAGCCTTTCACATAGTACGTGTGCGCTATGCTGGAGAGTGACCTTGTTTAAGGGGGGCATATAAAAACGGGAGAGGGGTCAAAAAAATCATGGAGGTCCCGAGTTTGCATTTTGTTAACTGATTATTATTTTATTATGCTAGATTAGTCAGGAAAAGCTTAGTCTCAAGACTCCTGTCAGATTCTGATTGATATTTGGCTGCAAAGCCAATAGGCTGTGGACGACAGAACGTGTTAATGCGGAGTTACTGGAACGGAATTCGGCTCTCATGTTCGCGTTTGCCCACGATGCTCCATGGCAACGCATATGGAGTTTGTGTAATTAATTCCATCAATCCACTTCTGTAAAAAAAGGTATTCCTGAAGTTGTGGCCGTCATGAGGAGTATTTGACCATACATCACCATACTGGTCAGTGCGGGTTGTACGGGGGAAGAGACGACAGGACCGGTTCACACACCGTTCGCCATTGATTTCAGCTGTGGCTGGGTATCAAACTCAGGTGATCAGGTTCATAGTTCAGTGTGCCAACCACTGCACCACCACTCCTTTAATGCTCTTGTGAAAACCCAGAGAATGGTATGACCCTGATTTGCGCAGTCACGAGGAGAGAAGACTGCATCAAGATCACACCGGTTTGAGTTGGAACCATTTGGAGAGACGCATGGTCATATCTCAATGTCGTTGATATTTGGGGCTGAAATCAGTGAGATGGCCGAGGAGAAAGTGGATGCGTTTGCAACTCGGTTGAGGGGTGCCACGGTGGCGAGATGTAAACGACCTTGTATGATATACAGGAGGTTGTGGGTTTGACCCTGACACCTGCTGTATATTTGGAGTTTGCATATTCTCCACGTGGTTGCGTGGATTTTTGTCCGGGTCCCCCGGTTTTTCCCTACACATTTAGAGTCAACGTGCATTTACAGAGTATTTGGCTGTTATAAATTTCCACGTAATAAGCCACTTCGTTGAGCTATCATTTGTGATGGCTATGGTCACTTCTGCAAAGAGATATTTAGCTCAGTAATGGGCATTACCTGGTAAAATAAAACAAAGTTCAAATTGTTTAAGTTTAAATTGCGGGTCGCTGGGTGTGTCAGGCCATGTGATAGGACTCTGAGGCACCCCTGCTAGAAAAATGGCCATTGGCACTCCTGCTCTCTCTGGGACACACAAGAAAAACATCTCCATCCTGTCTGCACACCCATCATAGCGCCGCACAAACTGAGACGTGGTCGAGGGCTGATGAACAATAATTCAAGGTTTCTTTATAAATTGTGCGGCTGGGTGGAGATGCTGTAAAGAGAGGTTGTGTGTTAACTCGAATTGTTGGTGCCTTGTTTGGCATCGACTTCATTTGTGTTAATTGCCGGGTTTGATGTTAATTCTCTCATGGGCATGTAAATATATGCATTCGTGTCAAATCTCACAAACATGCACCTCGCCCAATCGCCCAATCACACGCTGCTGCAATCCCTTCCACTGCGTGACAAATCAAGGTTCACATTATGATTCAGAAGTAAACCGTGAAGATCCAATGAGCCATTGGTATGCCACGTGCATAAATTAAGCAAACCAGTTAATCGTGAACTCACAAAATGTTGGAAGCGACCTTTATTTTACCATCAAAATAATTCAAAATTAAAATCCTACAGAAGTGTACGGGGAATGCTAAAAATGAAACTACAGGTGCTTTTTTATTTTTGCGAGACACTTTTACAATCACCAATATCAAACATAAGACCCATCGGGAACATGCATGCAGGGGAGGTGGGGGGGAAACGACAGCTTGGGTCTACATTACAGATACGTCTTGGAGGAGCCTACAGCAGAATATCAAGAAGCAATGCTTCTGTCATGCCCATGATGGGAGTAGAGCTTTGGGCCAAATTGCAAATTAGCAAGAGTCAAACATGTTTTGAACAGACCTTACAAACTGAACAGTGGTTATAGAATTCCTGCAACACAGCTACGAGTGGCATCTAGACTAACAGCTGCTTTTGTTTTATTAAGTGGAGCTCACGCTGCCTGAGTTTGTAATTCATTTGTTACCTGCACAAGGTTTAAAGAAACGCTCCAACTGTACACCCGGTTAAGAGCTCTAGTGAAGGCGCAAGGCAGCACAAAGTAGCTGGCAGCGTTCGGGATGGTATTCGAGCGCGGGATAATGCGATCACTGATAAAAAAAAGTTATTTGTGTCCTGTAGTTACGCGACTGCCGGCAGTTATAAAGGGGGCCTTCGAATCTGTCAAACGTAATAATAATCCTGCAGGAATCACAACGGCGTTTGCCTTAACGATAAGGCGAGGACGAAATGGAACTGGCAGGAGCCACATTCATCGTTCAGCCTGTACTTTCTGCTCACGGCATGCCCACTCCGAAGCCAATTTGCAACGAGCCGCTCAGTAGGCACTCTTAGTGCTTACACTTCTCCTTCTGTTCCTTATCCTTGCAACCTTTGCCCTTGTGCTCCTTGTGCTCCTTGTGCTCCTTGTGATCCTTGTGTTCCTTGTGATCCTTGTGCTCTTTGTGTTCCTTGTGTTCCTTGTGCTCTTTGTGCTCCTTGTGCTCCTTATGCTTCTTGTGATCTCCACAAGCGCCCTGTCCATGCTTGTGGCCTTTGCCGTGACCACCCTGCAGGGTCAAGGCGACCAGACACGGGGAGAGACAGAGGCACCCGGGTCAACATTGGACATCGTCCCGCCCTTTAAAGATTTGGTAGGGTGACCCCCCACCACCACACACGAGACGCTGCCCACGCTGGCGGCATCGGCGGCGGTGGCTGTCGTTTCACCGAGTCGGCTTCCCTTAGCGACCTCCGCAAGGGCGGGGACTTCGCTTGGCTGCGCCGCAATTCGTTTTGCCATGGCACTTCAATGGTGGGAAAAAAGGCGAGTCCAATTTATACATCTCATGTCATTGGGGGGCTGTTTTGATTTTTGTGGTGGGGTCAAAATAGGTTGTTATCAACAGCGGTATGGGTTCACTGTGCAGGAGTGGCCCTTCACTTATGCACGGCCAAATCTCAATTACCTACGGTCATATCTCAATTACCCACAACCAAATCTCAATTACCCACAGCCAAATCTCAATTACCCACAACCAAATCTCAATTACCCACAACCAAATCTCAATTACCTACGGTCATATCTCAATTACCCACAGCCAGAGGAGAGGGATGGCCGAGGTTTAAAAAAAAAACTACGTAGAAAATGAAAAACATACATTAATGATCAATAAAACCCCACAATTTATTTGAACCTGCATAGAACGCGTCCTCTGGTTTGTTTTTTGTTTCTTAAAGTGTAGTAATCGGTTTGCTTGCTGAAGCACGACAAGGGAGGAGCAGCCAATTATTATTATACCAGCGCATGCGTACTGATATTTGTTTCAAGCACCCATGGCCAATAGAAAGTTCACGGTGGTTTACAATTAGTGCATGAAAATACCATATCGCAGATGTTGCCATATGCACGGTATAATGTTTTGTTTCATTACCTGCATGCCAGTAAAGCTGTATGAGATCACTGCTCCACAGGACTATGTCCGTGCACCGAGATTCTCAAGACACCACGCACAGTGGGGGCGGGGGCACACGTATCGTGCAGCATCCACCACCGCAAATCGATGTTAACTTCAGCTCATTAAACATGCGATGTTCGCTGGGAACGTTGTAGGGCACACCCTCGCTCGGAATGGGCCCCGGTCACTACCCCGGACCCAGATAACCGCAACCGGCGCACACCCCCCCACATACACGTGAGCGAGCGCAGTGCACGCGGCATTTGAAAGCAAGATGAAGGCTCGCTCGTGAGACTTTTTGTATCACAGGGGACATTGATGTTTGCAAATGCCTATTAAGGCCAGCATGAAACGCAATTATGTGTTTACTTGCGTAACAAACATTTAGCCATAATGGAGGTTTTACTGGCGAAACGTCGTACTCAGATTGTCAATGTTGTGGCTTGGCTCTCCAACACACCGGTTAGTGCTGTGCTAGTGACGAATTGGCCACGTTCTGTTTACGTGACAACCGTTACTAGTTGGCTGTGTCGGGTGGTGGGGGGTTTTAACGACACATTTATATATTTACACGATCTAACCCAAAAACCTCTATTATGGATATTGGTCGCGAAAGCCTAAGTGTTCAACAAACATTTCGCCGTAAGCTGTTTTACTAAAATGACCGATGGAGGACCTTGGTGAAAAATAGAAAAAGTTACAGGGAATAAGTCATAACATTGCAGACCCCGAGTAGCAAACACATCTCGAGGGAAACAACATTCAAGTGCTGCACCATTGAAGTGACACTGGCATGTCATCCGCATCATCAGCACTGAAGCGCCAGGTCGAGTCCGTTAGCCACGTGTGCAGGGATGTAGCGCGAATCAGCAAATATAACGCCAAATCACGCGGGGGTTGGCTAACCACGTGTGCAAGAACAGGTTCAATTTGCTGAGAGTCTAGAGAAACATTAAGTGGAAAAGGGGCAGGCTCGTGATGACTCGAAAACAACATGAATCTGTTTTATTTGTATTGAGGACAAGTCTTAGGGGTAGCCAATTGTAAAGATCATCCAGATATATTCTAGAGACCTCGAGGGCTGTGCCATCAGCAATTAGGTTTATTTTCGAGTGGATTAGAGGTGTATCTTTCGTGGAGAGGGCGAACACAATCAAGTTGTCTATTCTTAGGGAACTATGCCTCCCTCTAACGAGAGGTTTGAAATGTGGGTTCACGGTTTTGAAATGTGGTTTTCCACAATACAGAGGGAAAAAGGCTGGACGTTCATCGGCACCGACAGCGGAAGAGGTGTTAAGGGAGGGGACTCGGTTAAATATGTTCAACTCAGAGATAGGGATGAGTTTGAATGCCTGCTGCAAGGTTTATCAATGAAGGCCAGGAGACTGCATAGCAGATATGGGGTCAGGTTGGTAAGAATTACGAAAAGATACAGCCCGCAGAGGCAAAATTGGAATTTGGGCCATCTACGACTTATTTAGGGTCAGAGGCATTTACCAGCAATTTTAAGCTTCGGTGAAACTCCATAGTCAACATGTTAGCCGTCAACAGTCTTCATAGCTTTCCAGAATAGCTTCCGATCGTAATGGGAATGTAAGCGGCTGTCTGGGAAGTAGCAATGTTTGGAATACCGAATCAGCTTAGTGCAGCAGTTCCTTAAAATTCTGTAATTGGTCCAATTTGAATCGAGGTTCGTATGCTCGGCCAATTTCCAGGCAGCATTTCTAGATTGGATGAGCTGGGCGATTTTGTGGCTGAACTAGGGGTGGTGGGGGCTGTCTACCTTTCACTTTGAACTTTTTTCAGAGGGGCGTGTTCTATCCACAAGATGGTTGAATACTCTTTTTAAATAAGACCACCCTGTGGCCAAAACTGGAATTTTGCCAATGGTGGACAAAGCAGAGTAGGCAACCTCGTGGTGGTAGGCCTTGGGGTGAAAACACATTCAGGAACACTCACAGATTATTTTGTGGGGGTAAATCTTGCATTTTCGAATTTCTAATACCAAAAATTTAATGACGCGAGTTCTTTTGCGAACTTTCCATGAGCATTGGATAGAATTAGGTAAGGTATAGACGAGATAATAATTCCTGCAGTCACGAAAGCTCCAAAATTAAGACAGGTATAGACGAGTCAATGAGGGTTATAACCTGCAGCATCGCATCTGGCACACCTTTGTATTCCAGGCGCAGGTGTTTACAAACAATGTCAAGGTCGAAGTAAACCTAGGGGAGGCCTAGGCTTGTTTCAGATACCCACGTGTCACTGGTGCTGTGCACAAGGGAGAACACCAGAAGCCAGACGTGTGTATCACAGTGCAGTGGGTAGAGCAATGGGGCTTCTGTTGTTTTTATTCCAACACAGAGGCAACACATTGCACACGCAGGGCCCAGCTGACGACAAACACTCCTCCTCACAACGCCCCCATGCCCACCTTCCCCTCGTGGTTGTCATCGGAGGAGGAGCTCGAGTCACCATCTCCTTCGCACTGGGAAATAAACAAAAGCACAGCAAACCTCAAGGGTAAAAAACAGGGGACCTCACGCACAGGAGAATAAACCATTCCCCCCTCCCCCCAATGTAAAATCTCCCACCCACGACGATCATTTTCCACGTATTGTTCCCCGCGTTTGTAAACATGAAGCAGTTTACGGTGTCAGACAATGCTTTTCCAAGTACATATTTAATGATAAATACGCAAAAACATGACTGCCATCATTATCATTGAAATATACGTACTCTAAATATGTGGACTGCACAACAAGCAAATATCTTTGGGCAAAAGCCCTTTGCTATATTAATATAAATGAATATTCCTTCCCAGTCAAATTTTTGTGGAACATTTGATTCTAAACGTGAGCATTACAGATATATCTTAAATTACGACATTTAATTTTTTTACACCGTTTCACGGTTTATTCTGTTGTATTTTGTAAATGTTTTGCTCATTGTTTACTGCTCGTTGTTTAATATTTGTCTTAAGTCTGACTTGTTAGGTGTTTGAACCGTTTGTTGACATGTTTTTCGGTCTTGCCGTTCGACTCTTGGGTCTCCCGTGCACAAGAGACTTTTGGTCCGAATGGGTTCTCAAATCGTACAAAGTGTGTGTGCATGTACATACATGGCCACATCACCTGGGGTGTGCCCATTTTCATCAGATCTCAGAAGGAATAATGGCTTAAGCCTATCGCTTTGATGGACAGACACCTGACAATGCTGATGAGACAGCGAATGTTGAAAGCGATCAAGGGTTGCATTGAACCAATGATGTTGCATTTATTTATGCACTTCAAGAAGTCCATGCGGCTCATGTATTGGGTGAATTATTATTTTTTGTATGTGGAGCGACAGATATGGGAAGGATACATATTGTTGGCTTATTTATTGTTGCAATTCATTGGCGGGTTGTTATAGAGCTCCAGAAATGTGTGGTGGGCGTCAGAGGGCGTGTGCAGCAAAATCCATTATTGTACTGTACTTCTATGCTCCCGAAAATAAATGCCCAAACCATAAATGACCAGCGTGGTGAAGTCTGGTCCAACAACCCGCCACGACCCACACGGTGTGGGGAGGCCCTCATCCAGCAGTGGGGTCACAAAGGGGACCGTGCACGTGTACTGCATGTCTACGCATGTATGCATATTGGGAGCAGCAAGGCATCCCTCCCACAGCCCAAGGTGCTTTCTTCACCTTCTTCCCTTCCTTGTGCTTATGCTCGCCGCCCTTGGGTTGAGGGTGACATTTGGACCCTTCGTCCTCCTTGCAGGGCAGAGCTGTCAAGCCACAGGACCTCTCATCGATCAACATTGATTCACAATGAAGGGCAATGGGTAAGAGCATTGTCTTATCAGGCTCATCAGGTGAGCAATACTTACCAGAGATGCATCTCAGCTACAAGTCAAAAGTCAGTGATTTATTGCTTAAATGGACATTGGGGCGGTGGTTATCTCCCATTTAAAGTCTTGAGCCAGTGGTGGAAATTCCACATTGCCATTTCTGGGGTGAGACTATCCATTGGACAAACATTGAAGACTTCGACAAAATTGTAGCAATTTTATCGGCCCTACCCAGGAGGTATTGAGGAGCCCGAGATGAGAGGCACTTTCTCGACTGCAATATGACCGGCTTATGGAAATTCCTCAAGGATTTAGAAGGGGATGTGCCATTTAACAGGAATTGTTAATAAGTCACATTATACAATTTAAGAACACTTGCATTTAAAATCACATATTTGCATTGTGGCGATGCATTAATTAAATATTGCTTCTTACGCTCACGATATTCATATTTATATGATATCGCCTGCGTAGTAATCTATATTTCGATTCGCGTACAGAATTTCACTTGGGTTACGAGACCACTGCAGCCGCTAGAGGCCGCTGCATCAACAACGAATGGAGTTGCCACCGTGAATCGTGACTTCATCGAATGGCGCATGGGGGGGGCAGGTGGAGGTGCTACTCCTCCCAAAGTGCGCAGTCGGTGCAAATGCACAGGGGTCCCAACGGGGCCGAAGGGGGTCCCCCCCGAGCACAGGGATACGAAAGGGGGTAGAAATTGGACAGGGGGGAGGGGATTCATCCCTTGCGCCACGGCCGAAGGAGGCCGAAACTCACTGCGTCACACGGCAGCATCCATTCCTCTCCCGGGTGTTCCTAATTGGCGTCATCCTTACCCAAGGCCAAACGCTGCGGGCATAATTTCGCTCAACTGGGGACGATTATCATCACCACCGCAATACACGCACGTCGCGTTTAATAACATAATGATTTTCCATAACATTTTAAGAATAGCGTACAACTGAAGAAAAATTGAATATCTTAATCATCACCGTCATCACCACCACCACCACAAAGATTGACAACATTTCCTACCTTCTGCGAGATCCATCACTGCTGCGATGGCGATGCTGTCGTCTGGAGAAGATGGTGGCAATTGTGAGCGTGGAAAACGCCCTGCTCGTGGATTTGTGTGCTGCGTAGGGCGACGTGAGTCGAACACCCCCCCCCCACCGCACCGTATTTATACCCCGTGCGGCCACGGGATCGCTCGAGGGGGCCTCCCCACGTCAGAGCGGGCAGCAGCAGCAGCGGAGGAGGAGGAGGCACCGCCACCACCATCCATCCTGGCCCCTTCCTCTCTCGCTCGCTCGCCAATTGCTTGCACGTGACCAGTCACCGCCCCACGGATGGCGTGATATTTGTTGCTTGCGAATTCCTTAGAATTTCGACTTTTCAACGACCAACAAAAAAAACCCGTTTTTAAATGTCCTCGATTTTTGTTATCAAATACCCGCAGTGGCATCCGGGCGTGACTCGGGCCACCGGCTGATGGTGACGGGGGAGATAACGCGTGGGCTGGTGCAGGCATCATCACAAACACCACCTCCCCACCTCTGCTCACACATTGCCCGCAGCCCCGCATGCGCATTGCATACGCGATGTTTCGTGCACGCGGTTATTTGGAATTTTCGTTCATGAACACGTTCATGAGCGCGTTGGTGTCCCATCGCACGCGCGCGTTCTGTGTCGCCGCCGTCGTGCCCGTGGTGGATGCTGCGCTGGGGCCGATGCAACAAAGGCGCTGCCTCCAAACATCGAATCGCGCCCGCCAATTGAAGAGGCCAAGAGGCACCAGGGAGCTGCCGAGTGCGAAGACGGCGCAAACCCTCGCCGTGTTATTTGTTTCCTTTCGCATATTCATTTATGTTTCAAATAAAGCTGACTTTTTTTTAAATAAATCTTACAATAGAGGATTAATGGGGGTGGTGGGGGGGGGGTCACAAGACATCTGGACCGCCATGTAGGTAGCAAGACTATATGACGCACATTGCAATGTTATTATTTTCTGCACTGACCACAGTTCACGGTATCCCGTGGCAACCGAGATGCATGCACGGTGGTCACGCATCTCGGCACCACCCAGCCTCGCCGCCGCTGATGATGATGATTCTAAAAGGGTCGTTCGTGAGCACCGTTTAATTAGAGGTCCGCCTCACCTGTTGATTGTGTATGACTCAGCTGTTATACAAAGATAAAGATCCCCCATATAGCCTCAACAGACTGTAGGGGCAAGTGTAAAGAGCACCTATGAAGGCCGGAACGGTACACGAGGGGGTTGGGTGGCCAGCACCACGCCCGACCGCCTTTGTCTCCCTAGTGGCGATGCTTACATACCGCACCAGGTACTCATTTGAGGCTGAGTCGACCTAGGGGAGGCCCGGGACCGGTTCAGATAATCGTCACTGGTGTTGGCCGTGAGCGGGAATCGAACCCGGGTCGCCGGGTTCATAGCGCAGCGCGCTAACCGATGCACCACCGCTCCCCACGTGTGTTTGACACAGCCTGACACGCACCCACTGCGACGTGTACAGTGCCTTTATGTTGCTGTTCGCCAAAGCCTAAAGTAAACAAGGACATGCAAATGATTATTGTTATTATAATGATCATGCCAAGTATTTTCCCAGGAGTCTCAAAGCGTCTCTAGACTATTTTCAAATGATCCCTGCATCGGTAATATTTACTGCAGGACAAAATTTTGTATTTACATAAAAGCCTGAACACATTCTTCAATGACACTGCATTTTTAAATATACTACAGTGTACTGTATACATCATTTCCGACTTTTCAGGCAATGGCTATGATTTACGTTATATAAGGGTCATTGCCTAAAACGTTGCCGATTATATATATTTTATTTTAAGGCCACAGTATAATTGACGACTGTGTCGAGTTTCTGTTCATTGTGCTTGTGCATCACCGCCAACGCAGCAGAAGAAAACCCGAGTACCTGGCTTAAACCACCGATGTACAAAGCGATTAAAGCTACAAGCGAAAATCCATTGTCGTTATGGCATCCTCGCAGCCCCATCCCTCCATCTGGTATGTCCAGATATGCTCCATTCTCCAGCACGAACCAGGCTTAAACTCTGCTTGGCTTCTGAAATCGGATGCGTTCCTCGTGAATTATTTGCAGTCGTATCGGCTCAACACGATGGTTGTTAAAAAAAAGAATTGCATAACCAATAACCGCATGAATCCCACAAAAAAGCCAACCCCCTTAGTAGAACACTGCTCGGTTGCCGGTTTGTCACAAGTACAGACACGCCTATCGTGATAGGTGTTAGCACACTGGACGTGTGATGCTGTGGTGGTGGCCGGTTCGAGTCGATCTCCTGGCACCGGCAGTTGTTGAAACAACGGTGCGTGTTGCTTAGACACATTCCTGCGGAGGGAGCTGGTAGGAACGTTGGGTTGCTCGGTCAATGGCCAGGGTCAACGGCGGCGTGGTGTATTCCGCAAATATGACCGACTGTGAGGGCGGGCACAAGCCGGCGTGAGTAGGTTAAACGTTGAGTTTTATAAGGGCACCACGGGGTGACCAGCCCCTCCCCACCCAGCCCCACCCCTCCCTCCCACCCCCCACCCAGCCCCACCCTCCCCACCCAGCTCCTCCCCACCCTCCCCACCCAGCCCCTTCCCACCCAGCCCTACCCTCCCCACCCAGCACATCCCTCCCCACCCAGCCCCTCCCTGCACGACGGACGGACGGACACAATAATCCCCTGTGGGCTGGTGTAACCAGGAGGTTCCGACCAGTTAAACCCTCCTCAGTCTCTGTCCACCCAGCAGCAGCAGCAGTGTGCACGCGCACACCACAGCCAGTCCCATCGGCAAGCTGCGTGTGGTGAGGTAAAGCGTGGGTGCAGGTGGGCCAGTGTGAAAGAGTAGGCCAAATTACTTCTACAGGAAGACTTTGTTGAGTTACTCGTAGTGGAGCTCCTTCATTCAGCAGTGACGTAAGCGAATAATTGTAGGATTGCACCTTTATCGAATAGCTTTTAGTATTATGACACTCCTTGGAGGCACGCAAGCCTGGAATTCAGGTCTCACTCTACACTCACTTGGGCCCTTTAGTGCCTTTGACCACCACGAGGATGTGTGCAGAACAAGGTCAGGAATGGTGATGTCTTCCCGGAATGCAAAAACATCCTGGGATTTCCTTTGCGTTCAATGTATTCCTGTTATGCCTTGGTGTTGAAGACCTATTTTTGCGAGTTCCGTATGTACTGTACAGTGTTCGCCCTAAAGGAAGCTTTGAACAAAAACTGCAAAATTCGCACGAAACATGGAGGGGGGACACATTCTTGGAATTAAACCGAGGGTCAGAAGGACGATCAGAAGAATTCGATAGCATACGCAACGCTAAGAATCTAATTTTGACTGTAAAGAAACAGCACCGCAGGTAAACATGAGCAGGGCGCGTCGTGGCTAGAAGAAATGACGGATGGTCTATGGTCGAGACTCACCACGGAGTGGTAACCAAGAGATGGAACGCGTCTGAGAGGTCTCCATCACCGCCGAGGTGGTGGAGCGATGAAATCATCTCAACCTACAGCTGCTGGGTGGATTGTTACATTCCAGGACCGTGTGAAATATGGCGACGGCTTGCAGTGTGGGAGATCTATTTTGCAGTGGATTGATCGTGGCCGACGATGATGATGATGACAATAAACAAACTCATCGATTAATTGATCACCGGAAGAAGCAGTTATTGATTTTAAAACCAAGTGCGCGTAGCTGCCTTTTCATCTCTCATCCCCGTGACCAGGCGCGCGCTCACAAAATACTCTCTCTCTCTCTCCCGTCTTGCTCTGCGGATGACAAGGCTGCGGATAAAGTGTGGGATAAGGACGCTTTCGGCGTTTCCAATTAGCCAGAGGGATGTAATTGCAACCGAGTCGTATCCAATTAATACACCGGCTCTATTTTCATTACTCGGGGTGCCTGGGGAGAGGAGGGGTGGGGGAGGCCATGGAATATTCGCCCCATTTCCAGAGCCTCCCCATCCCCTCTCTTAATGTACGCGTGATGAAGCGACGTGCATGAGACGTACAACGACAGAGATACCCCGTATAGCATTAACGAACTGTTGGGGCAAGTGCTGTTAGCGAGCACACATGAAGGCCGGAACGGCACACGAGGGGGGTGGGTGGCCAAAATCACACCCGGCCGCCTTTGTTTCCCCAGTGGCGATGTTTACACACCACACCAGGTCCTCATTTGAGGCTGAGTCGATCTAGGGGAGGCCCAGTTCAGATAATCGTCACTGGTGTTGGCCGTGAGCCAGAATCGAATTCGGGTCACCGGGTTCGCGCTACACACACGGCCGCACACACGTAGATGAGCGGTGTAGGCACGGGCACCACCCTCATAGGCTGGTACTGAACGAGCAGCAAGGATTGTCCGTGGAAGTTCACCCCCCCCCCCACCCCCTTCAAGGTGATGTTGAAACACATCTTACAGTAAGTCTACTTGGCTTCAACCCTGCCACGCCGCCAGTGGGCATTGTGTGGTGCCACGGCGTGGAGCAACTCTGCAAGCGCGGCGACTCCCCCCTGGCCCCCACCCTGAGCACACACACGCAGTGCACACACGTAGTAGTGTCCTGGCGGGGGATCGCCTGGCACATCGGGTTTTAATCCGAAGGGTCCCGAGGAGGAAAGTCCCGCGGTTTCCCGGTGCCAGGAAATTGGCCGACCCTCGCAGGACAGGTTACATTGCGGTGTCCCTGAGGTGCCCTAAAATTGTCTCGGCACACAAAGTTTCACCGGGCCAGCCGCAAAGAGTCATACACGACATCGGGGGGGGAGGGAGCTGGGGCGAAATATTAAGCGAGCAGAGCAGACTATGAGGTCAGGGCATCGCAGCGCCACGACCTCCACCGGCCCCAGACCGAGTACACACTAGCAGGGTGTGTATCTGCCAGCTGGACTTCTTTCCCGATTAAACGGGATGAGTTAGAAATAAATGAGTACGAGTGCATAGACAATAGGCTGCCGAAGTAGCTGTCGCAACGCTCCATGAAAGGGGAGAGAAATGAGCGAGGATCACAGGCAAGCGCACGATTGTCTGCGCGGGATAACGTGACCCTGGATTTTTGAAGTCAGGGGGCATACAAAGGGGAGCCTGAAACCGTTCAGATGAGAACTCTTCTTCAACATCTTCGTCACCAAGACCCCCCCCCCTGCCGTCCTGCCTCCTCGAGCCACTGCCAGTGTGTTAGCACAGAGCATCGGTGTGGTGTCTCTGTGATTCCTGTGTGGGGCGGCTGCGTGGGCGGACGCGCGGCGAGAGTGAGGGCGGAGCCGCAGCACGAGCTTAAGTTGAGGTAACCGCTCGCAGGTGTGGCCGCTCGTGTGCCGCTGCGGACTGCGTTAACGTTAGCTGCGGGGTGTGCACGTACGCGCGCGCCCCTGTGGTAGCTGTGGTGTACGCGGGAGTGTGCGGGTTAACTCCGTGCGGCTGTGAGCCAGCAGCATGAGTATGTCCCTCAGAGGGGGCGCTAGCGCGGGGGGCCCGGTCACGCGGTCGGCGGGGGCCCGGCGGGAGCCGAGCGACGCGGTGGAGGAGGTAGTGGAAGGGGCGGACGTCGCGCCCCACCTGCCCGGCGAGGGCGGTGGGGTGGACATCGGCCCCCACAATTGCTGAACAGGTTCCGGACAGGGTGAGGTCTCTGTGTCGTCAACCTCCGCCGTCTTCACGACAACCCACAACTACAAGTGTGGCTATCTACAAACAGAGTCGCGTATTGTTGACGAATGTCCACCGACTGAGTTTGGCGGAGCTCTACGAGAACACCACATGGCCACGGAGGACGCTACCGCATGGCTCGGCGATTACGCACACGCTGGATGACGATCATGTGACTTTGTGCTTCGGTAAATTAAACCATGTTTTTACTCTAGATCACAAATGTAATGTTTTCAAAATTGCCAATATATATACAACACCATTGTAACCTCCTTTGCCAGTAGCAATATATGATAAAAATAAATTGTTTTTTACCCTTTTATCTGGCAACAAAACATGACTCCTTGTAAAAAAGGTGTCAGTTTTGTTGCCAGACAAAAGAGTGAAAAAACAATTATCATATATATAACATAGAATGTGGTTATGCACTATCATTGGTTACCATTCCAGCTCTGATCGTTAAATACCGGGTTGACTGTCATGCGACAAAATGACGCTCTAGTGTGTAGAGGGTTTAAGGAAGTGCTGCCCTCCATGGAGTGGGACTCGAGGTCCCTTCAAGGAGGGAACTCTCAAAGACGGCCTGCTTCTTTGGCCACCAATGACTATAGGGGACCCGACGTGGACTCCAGCCCGCGGCCTCCCCAAAGCTCCGGGTGGCCCTGATAACGCACAGCGTTTGGCCAATACACTGCTGGATGAAGAAATCGCCACGCCGTGTCGGTCATAGGAGTTGTTTTGACCATACTTCACCACGCCGGGCAGTACAGGTTGGTGTGAAGGATGGGTAGGCGAGAAGCCATGGCCGGTACCGCTGATCCACCCCAATAGACGGCTAAAGACTTCACATTTGATCAAAGAAAGGCGCAAACATCACTCGCCACTGATGTTGGTCATGGCCAGGAATGGAAAACTTGTCGGATTTATATACACAGTGCGGTAACCACTGCGCCACCGCTCCACCCCCACGACAATATAATCAGACCTGAAGGTCCCATTATTCACTACCCCACCCCCCACGACCCACACAACCGCGGGGCTCTCCGGGGCTTAGGGTTGATTCTAAAACAGGACGGGATTTTTTTTTCAAATTGTCACTTACTGCTCGCTAAGTGTGAACGCGAAAGGGCACGTGTGGCTCTTGCATATATTTAATTACCGAATTAACGCGGATCAGCCCGACTGCATATCCAATTACAAGCCAGCTAGCTTCACGCTCTCGGCTGTGCATGCGATTCAATGCACGGTTATTGCCGCTGTGTCCTGATAATGAGACGCTCCGGAAAGTAAGATGCACCCCGAACGTGTGCCCGGTGTCGTCAATAACTGTGTATATATAAAATCTGGTCGCACTCACCTATCCGGATTGTAAGACGCATATACAGGGAGAAAGAGTGTGCCTGACAATGCGGAGAACACGGCGATGAATGTGTAAGGGCACTGATCCCTATAACCGCGTGGTGTCTCCAACTGCAGTTGTCGCGACCCATCACGGAACACCTTCCCACGTTCAGCCGTCCTCTCCGTCCAAATATTAAATGGGCTCACGTTCCACGCACCCTGACGATTGAAAAATATGTCCCACGTGGTCTATCGAAGGCCGATTCAAATGAACATTTGAGGTCTCGAGCGCACGCGTGGCTGTGTACACGTGTCTCCCTCGACATGGGCGGCACTCGTTCTCATTAAGACGCGTCAGTTCAAACAAACGCTGAGGGCAGTGCCTCCAGAGGTATGACTCCAGGCTCCCAGTGTGGGTGGCGCGGGGAATCGGGGGAGTGGGTGAGATAGAGGAAGCATGGTGACACGTGGGGACCTGCCCTTGGACAGATAACTCATGAAGACGTTCAGTCTACATTCAAATGAAAAAAGCCACAATAAATGTCACAATTTGCTCTTTATGTGCATGTGTTTAAGATAATAATTTTCAAAGTCAAAATAACGAATGTGTTTGTATGAGCGCGTTGTATCTATTATGTGTGATGTACGTGACAGGTCTGTGTCGATTTCACTGCTGGATGAAGGCCTCCCCACTTCGTCTCGGCCACTGGGTGTTGTTGACCATACTTCCCCACGCCGGTCAGTAAGGATTGGTAGAGCTTCGGGCCCAGAACCTGCTCGATTTACACGATTGGCTATGTACAGTGCATAAGAAGTGCAGATACTGTATATCCCTTGCTTCTGAAGGTGGCAGTGGTCGAAAATCGAACGCGCTGCGTTTGTAGCCTGCAGAATGCTTAATTCGCTGCGTCATCTCTCCACCCCACGTTTTCTTAATTAAAATATATGAAGATACAGCGTTGCATTGCTATGTAAACTATAGAAGATGCCGCTTGGTAATTTAATACGTGAACACAAATATTACTTTAACCCAGCAATGTCCTCCGATGTGCGAGCGAGCAGCAGCATTATACTGTCAGCAGAGGGCGCCCGTAGGCAATCATGAAAGCCCTCTTTGAACGCGATGGTGGGACAGGCAGTGGACGACTGGGTTCATGGAATGAACTCCGTGAACTGTGCATGCAGCTCACTCTCACACAGAGCCGCAGCACCTCAGCGGTTTATCCACTTGCACAAAACTGATAAAAGTTAAATTAAGATTGTGCTTGTGAGATTTTCACCTGGTTAAACAAAATAGACTTGAAACTCGATTGTGACTGGATACACTAAACCACGTACAGAATTCAGATGTGCAGATATGGAAGGCCTTATATCTTTATTTCACTTATGTACAATAATAATATACGCCAATATATGCCGAGGAGATAATTACGTACACTTATTCCTGTAAATTATTCATTGTTGGCCACAAGCACAAAACACGCAACCGCTCACAACAGCACACATGTTTGAAAAACTGTGGACCAAAATACTGACAGTGGAAATTTTGAATTACGGTGCAATGCGCCACAGGGAAGGAATGCAGCCCTTCAACCGTTTGTTGCTGACACCGCTTCTGGCGCAAGAACCAACACCAGAATGAGCTCTCGAGAGCCAATAGAGAGGGTATTTGGCCTACTCTTCCATGCTGGCCAGACCTCTTGGAAAAGGTGGAGGTACCCACATTTTACCCCACCACACGTGGCGACCTGCCGGTCGAATAATTGTGATGAGCCCATTCATGCTGTTGGATGCTCAGAAGCGGGGGTGGGAGGAGGGATTCAAGTGACCTTTCCCGTTGTTTCAACTCTAGTGAGCTCACCATTACACCACGGCAACATCCCTCGATACTCGATCATGTTAAATGAAATGTTCTAACAACAATATTGCATATAAGCTTTCAATACACATTGACGATATAACGTAGATATTTGTGGGGTGTTTTTGTCATATACACAATCAGCTATAGGAACCCGGTAGGCGTCAATACAAGCATTGTAGGACATTTATATGACTATACATTTTAGTTAATACACAAGGCAAACGTCACTATTAGTCATGTGAATGCATTTCAAATGCTTGCGATGATATACTTTTTTAAAATTTAAAAAAAAATTATAATTACAATGTGGATTTATATCGTGTCTCTAAATGCCACCCCATCTCAATACGCTGTACAGAAACAGTAAAAATAACTACGACACAAATGTAATAATACCTAACCATTGGATATCCCTTATTCCAACTGAGGCCAGTTTACCCAAGGTGGCCCCAAAACCACATAAACAAACAACAAAAGGCATTCAAAAATGAGCAGAGCTGGTGAATGTGCTGGTAATTCTCAAATATCTACACAAATGGGTTGACCAACACACTCGCTTTAACGCTATATTCTGAGCATCTTGAAGCCTCGCATATTTTAAAGTCTCATACATCTACTTGATCGATCCACCTTTGGCTCCACAAGAGTTAATAACATACGCCCAATATGAGTTTTAGACAGAAAAACACAGTCCAGTCATGCCCATTGGATCCGTCCTCCCATCATGCCCTGCATGGCACGTGAAATCACCGTGCTGCGTGGATAATGCGCACAGCCTTGTTTGAAACCACCGACTCGAAATAGTCAAAATCACTGCTATACTATTTTGGACATCAGCAGCGACAACAGCAGCAGCATCAGCAGCGGGGCAGTGACTTGGGTTTGTCATCATTTACAGAAAGCGTGAGAAATGCTTTATCTACTTGAACCACTTGCGGCTCACCTCCAAAGCGCTTGGACTAGGACAAGGGTCGGCAACCAAAATAACAAGAAGAGCCATTTCTTTCCAATTCGGTACAAAATTCAGTATTTCAAGAGCCGCAATGCATCTGAGTACATACTGTACATATCGTCAAGAAGCAGCCCGTAAAGAGCCGCATGCGGCTCCGGAGCCGTAGGTTGCCGACCCCTGGACTAGGAGTACGCACGACCGCGCCTAACCGTTCACCGCGTGAATCTGGCCCCGCATTGCCATGCGGCTGTAAAACCACAAGGTGAAGGTGCAGTCCTGTCTTGCTTGCAGTGGGTCGAACTTGCCGGCCTCCCGCCCTCCCACGGAGTCTTGGCTCAGGACGCGAAGTGTTTGAGCGCCACTTCGCCGGGCAGCAGCAGCTGCTGCTGCTGCTGCTGCTGCTGTGGCAACGTGGGCACGGGGCCGTGGGGCGCGGCGTGGGGGTGCAACTCCGTGGGGGCCGCCGGCGACACCCACGGCAGCCCCTGGGGGAGCAGCATGAGGCCCCAGCAGTGCAAGGGTGGCGCCATGGATGACGACGACGATGGCGTCGACGACGACGATGAGAGCGCGCAGGAGGACGGGAAGGAGGAGGTGGATGAGGAGGGCGTGCCGCTCATGCGGGGAGGCCCGGCGGGCCCGGCGCAGGGCAGGCGCGACGCGAGGCCGTGCAGGTGGGCGATGAGGCGGCTCCGCAGAGGGTGCTCGCAGGCCGGGTCTCCTCCACTCGCGGGGCTGGTCACGCTCAGGTAGCGCGCCACCTCGCCCAGGCACTCCCTGAAGCCCATGCTGCGGTAGAAGTCCAAGGCCAGGGAAGTGTCGTGCAGGTAACCTCCTGTAACGGCCGATTAATGAATTCACGAACGCAAGTCTTGGAAGTATTGCCTTGCAAATCTAATTCCAAGCATGCATTTCTCCGTGAATCTTTATGCACTTTCGAGTTTTTCTTTACGTAAAGTAATATTTGAAAATTCTACGAAATTGAATAAAATATCACAATTCCAACACTTTTCTGGCAAATCCATGCCGAGTTCTGCATGAGGGGCGAATCGTGATGTGAACTCACCGCACGCACTGGAGGTAAATATGGCTTTACTCTACTGATGATATCTAACAAGGATAAACCCAGTATACAATCGTTGCATCGTCCTATTGCTGTCGAAAATAATATGGCCACAAGTTTGACACCTGGTGGACTATAACAAGGATGTGCCCATTATCCATGCACTTTTGTGACGCCTTGCGGCATGCTGAGAAAACCATGCTCATGTCCACAATTATAGCAGTTTATTCTGTTTGTAAATGAGCATTGTGTGTATTATAATTATTACTCTAATTTGTTTGCAGATTGTATGTACGTCTTTGGTGAAATTGTCGCCATAATAATTTACATCTGTAAGGCACATATCATCAATACATCCCAACGCACGCCACGCATAGTAATCAGGAAATAAACAGAACCAGGGTCAACGACCAGAACGAGGGAGTGCAAGCCAATTTAAAGCGGCGAGTTTTCAAAACACAACTTAAACATCTCTAACGACTCTGATTGTCTCATCACCAAAGGCAAAGCATCCAATAGTCTGGAAGCTGCACTGGCAAAAGCCCAATCACTCAAGTAAATGACCCATGCAGTGCGAGAATAGATTAACCGCAGGCCTCAGTTTCTCACTGCGGGCCACTGGCGGCCCGTGATGGCCTTTAGCGTGCCCCCTGGCGTTGCGGCCCGCCGACAATACACAAATGGTGAAAACATCCCCCACCATCATCATCATCACCGTGCCGCTGTCAAACCCAACAATGGTTTCAAATGTGTGGGCAGCCCTCACACTGCTGACATCTTATCGGCGACAGTGGCCACCCTCCGAACATGAGTGAAGAACGCTGTAATAATACTGGATGGGTGCGCCGGGCGACAAAAATGTTTCCCGTGCCGCCGTCCCGGATGGAGGCGGCCGAGCGAAGCCCCGAGAGGGGCAGTGTTTACCGGCTGCTGCCCCGCACGAGTGCAGCTCCTTGAGGTGGTCCACAGTCATCTGCAGGATTTCGGCTTTCTCCAGCTTGCCGCGCTCCTGCGTCGTGACCCCGGCACCGGACGCCTGTGGCACACGAGGAGTTGGCCGATTTTTTTTTGGTCGATTGATTGCAATCGTTTAAACTCGTTGAGATCCCCGTTTTATCGCACGTCTCTCTCTCTCTTAGTTTTTTTTTGTTAGAGGAAGACCTGGGATACACTGAGTACATCAAACAGCAGGACGGATACGCACTATTCGTAGAGGAACTCACGTTGGGATTGTTGGGAGGCGTGTAGAGGTTTCGAAATGAATTCATGTTTGTGATTTCTCACTGTTATTTTAGCGGGGTGTCTATAAACGGATCGCCCTGTGCGTTAAGCTCGGTTTTTACCCGGGAACTACCCAATGAGTCTCATGGCTCTTCTTGAGGAGGGTCCTGCCACGCTTTCGCAATAGAATACGATGGTTGCTATGTACACAGTAATCACGATTGAGTCATTTACAAGTAGATGTCCACATTTGGCAAAAAATTTGGACTGCACCGGTATGCAATGGCCGAATCTTGCTAATTATAGCCGTGGCACCTTTAATGTCCAACGTGAAGCAGACGTATTTGTAAACACACCGCCGGAATTTAGCGGGGCTTCCGCTGGTGTGAGCGGTGTGCAGTGTGTCCGTGCCCTCGACGTGAATCACATTGGGTCTGCAATGAATGCCGAATTGCCTTGCCCCCCTCCCCACTGTCGGTGACTTTGCCATGTGACCCCGCATCGCATCGACTGACAACGGGTTTGTGCGTGTGCAAAGGTGTTATTGGGCGAAGATGCGCCATTCCCACGCAGTTAGCCGGTAGTACCGGCCACATGCCAATAGGGGGCAGAAGAGGGGCTGGGCCCCAGTGCTAAGAGACGATGGTCCATAGGGCCCAACGGTTACCCCTATGGAACGGCAAGTCCAGAGATACAGACCCCAGACCCCAGGAGGTCCTTCTGGAAGGTTCATGAAGGAAGGTGTGGCCGGGGCGGAGCGAGCCACGGCCCTGCATAAAAGCCGGAACCCTGAACGGTCCCGGCAGTCGTCGTTCACCCGAAGATTGAAGAGCCTCCAGGAGAGAAGAACCCAAGAGCAGAGCCGTACCCCTGGCTAGGGTTGACTCGAGCTTATACCCGTGAAGACCCAAGCTTCATCCAAAACGGAGTGAGGTTAGCCAGTGAGAGGCGTGTTAGTCCAGACGGGCTCCCTTAGTGTATCGGGTGTGAGGGGCCGTTACCCCTCCGTGTTACGGATTTATTGTTAAATAAATTCCGTGTTGCCTCAAGAAACTCTCCTCTAGTTATATAAGATCTTGTCTCTTGGACTTCCCTTTACTTGATACAGTAAATTTGGCTGTGACGGTCCCACCTGTGTTGCCTCCGAAACGTCGTGATTTAATTGATTTATTTTAATTTATTATTATTTTACTTGTATTTTTTACCTACGTGACTTTATCGAAAGACCTAAGAGTACGAATCCTTGCAGTCACGAAAGCTTCAAATCTAGAATCTCCTCTAGGTATTTAACCTGGCTGGTCCGGATGTCTTGTGACCCCCTCACATTTAATTCTCTAACACGTAGTATTTTTTGCAAGCAATGTTTCTTTAAAACAGAAACAACGAATGTGCAAAGGAAAAACAAGTTAGGGGTCAATTAATTGGGCGGGTCACAAGACATCTGGGCCACGCTGTACAGTACATTATATCGTGGACCATATCGTGAACCGTCGCTGACTGCGCTCCTTCAAAGGAAGAATCGCGATACAAGACAAACTCTCTCCTTGAAGCCCTCTAGTCGTGGCTGGCAGACCTCCACATTGATATATAGCCCCTGAACGTATCGCTGCTGCCATCATGCGTAGGACTGGCATGGAATGAGTGCAACATTCAATCATAGGAGAGGGGAGGACAATATAAATCAGTGGGGTATCAATAAATGGATCGCCCTGTCTTTATTATTAATCTTGAGTTGTTGCTGTTCACAGCACAGTTGTTGTTCACAGCAAGGCCGTAATTATAAATATGCTCTTAATGTCCCCCCAAATATGTTGCTATAAAATAGATTTCTGTTTATATGATTGTGGTGATGGTTGGACTTTATTAATCCCTAATCTCTGCCATTACAAACAATGAAACAAGAAAAGCTAAAAAAAAGAAAAAAACAGAGCAATGTAACACTATTCGACATTATTGTAAAAAAGAAAAACGTCCATCCTATGTGTTAGTGAATTTTTTTATATTTTAGGCAGGAAATTCGTTTTCAAATTTAGATTTTTTTCTGGGGGGGGGACCCCCAGAACCCCCTGGAAGATTTGGTCCCCTCCCAATGTTGACTCCATAGCTACGGCCTTGGTTCACAGCACCTGCTGTTGCTGCAGGAAGGCCGTGGGCTGCAGGAGATGGTGCAGCTCCGACAGGCAGTTGTTGATGCGATCCCGGCGGCGTTTCTCGATGACCTGCCGGGGAACACGTGCCACGTCTCACAGGCTCCGAACGGGCCGCCTTCGTAGACCATCCACTGCTGGATGAGGGCCTTCCCCAACCCCCCCCCCCAACGCCGCATGGCTCGTGGCGATTGTTTAACTCGCCAGGTCATTTACTTGTCCTGTTATTTACCCAGCAGCAAACCGCAGCTACACCACAAGGGGCCGTCCAAAAATGACGTCACGCGATTTTGGACGATTTTTGACCCCCCCCCCCCCTCGTCACACGGCGTCACAAAAAGTCAGACCCCCCCTCAAATATGACGTCACAAAGCTCTGCCCCCCCCCCCCCCAAATAAAACATGCTTCAAATCGCTTTAAACTATTGTCATTGTAGTGCGTATTTAATGTGGCGCTGCACTCTGATGTCGTATGAGAAAACATTTATTAAAAAGTCTATTTAATTAAGTAGAACGTGTCTATTTATTTAAAGTTGCGCATTTTGATGTGACGTCACATTTCTCAACCCCCCCTCCCCCTTGTCACACATCGTCACAAATATCTGACCCCCGCTAGGTGCGTGACGTCATTTATGGACGGCCCCAAGAAAAACATTTGTTTTTGCTCCGACCGATATGCTCGGAGAGGAAAAGTACTGACACCGCCGTGAGACGTTGGGAGCGCCTCAACATTTCGCCCCTCCGGTTGTCCGCTCACACCTTGAGTGTGGCAACTCGCGACATCAACTCTTACGCATGTGCACGCACAGCCCTTGTGTCCATCCACTGCTGGACAAGGGCATCTCCGCACCATGCGATTTTTGGCCTTACTTCACCATGCTGGTCAGTGCGGGGGGGGGGGCTACGGCGAGGGAGCATAGAAACAGAGTGGTATTGTGGCTTTTGCTGCACTGCCCTCTGCTGCCCATAACAAAGCCTCCACAGTTGCCGATTTCACCAGTTTCATGCATGGTGGTCGACCAATCCAAGCACCGTCCAGACTCAATCCTGCTTACTTCACAATATCCAATGAGATCGGGAACATTCCGGGTGACCATATGCCACATGTCGTGTCATTGCAAGGCCCGCGGGCCACTGGTGGACCCCGATGGCCTTTAGCCCGGACCCTGACGTGCGGCCCCCGACAATACACAAATGTAAAACCACCCTCCCCACCCATCATCATGGTGCTGTCAAACGTCAGTGGTTAAAAATGTGTGTGCGCGCCCTCACACTGATGATGTCTTATCGGCGAAAGTGCCCCCCCCCCCCTCTGAAAATGAGTGAAGAGCCACTATATTATTGGGACAACTTCTCTCCACCCTCCATCCCCGAACGCCGTGCCCGCACCCGTCCTACGCGCTCACCCCACGCCGCTGCTTGCGAGCTATCGCTTGGAAGGCGGCGCTGGGGGAGAGGCACTGCGACTGCGGGTGGCCTGCCCTGCAGCACAGGGAGAGAGACACGCAGGGAAAGAGGGCGACCACCCCGGTTAGTCGGCCGCACACCGCAGCGGCGAGGCACTCGAGGGAGGCGGCGGTGTGACCGGCCGCTCACTCAAGATCCCAGCAGCAGCAACGGCGCTCTTCGTCAGCACGCATTGTCCAGCGTGCTGGTGAAGCGTGGCCAATCCCTGTCACCGATAGGACTTGGGAAGGCATCCATCCAGGAGTGGATTGACAAAGGGGCTATAGGTATATATTTTTTCCCCGCTATGGGTTACAGACGTTATTACAAGACAATGCTTATTTGGTTAATCCGTACTGCTGATGAGACACCTAATGTCGAAACCGGCCCCGAGTTTGCTTGTATCAAACCATTGATGCGGAAACCTCATGCCCCCCCAGAATGCTATGTAGCTGATGGGATCTCTAAACCAAATAAAAAGTAAATTGTTTCTAGATTTGAAGCTTTCGTGACTGCAAGGAATCATACTCTTTGTTTTTTTTTGGTTTGTAATGTAAATTTAGATTGTGAGAAAAATAAATAAATAACTCTCATCATTCCCATATCTGTCCCTCCAGATAAAAACAAATCAAATCAATTTTTTTTATATCTCATTGAACCACATGGCCTTATGGGAGTGCATCATTTTCAGCAGGAATGTTTCAATCAAAACCGGCAACACTCTGGACAGGTTTCGACATCCAACGTCTCGTCTGTGAGAGAAAGAGCTTTACAGCTCATCGGATTCCTCCGGTAATAAATACAACATTCTGATTCCGATTCGGATGGATATCACGCCGCCATGCGGGCCTCTATGAGTATCGCCAACCTTCTGACTGACCATAACTCCTGCCACACATGAAAGATCCCCCGCATAGCCTTTTAACATTGCCCGAGCACAAGTGCTGTTAGCGAGCACCTATTAATGCCGACACTACACAAGAGGGAGTGGGTGGCTAAGCACCACTCCCGGCGGCCTTTGTCTCCCCAATGGCGATGTTTACACTCTGCTCACACACACCGGATTATATGACGCATCTCTAACGTTGGATTTGAAACAGGCAAGGAAAGTGCGCCTTATTATCCGGAGCAAAGTTACATATAACGAGAAGCCTATTTGAAAATGCCAAAGCCATGCACAATCCACTGCTGGATTAGAGGCATTGTATGGCAGTGCGGGTCGGCGGGGTTATATCACCATACTTCACCACACCAGTCAGAGCGGTGATGAAGGTGGAGAGAGGGGGCCGTGGAATTGGCAGCATAGAAGTACAACATGTTGCTGCATTGCCCTCTGCTGTGCACGACGTAACTCAGCAGCAGCAGCCTATAACACCTATCCCATGCAGTCTCCCATGCAACCGCTAAGCAGGTTGGAGCCTGCTTCGCCTCCGACATGTGATGAGGTCGGACGCACTCCGACCAATGTGGTCACAGGCAACGATGCACGCACCAAACATCACCCATCAAGGACTGTGCATGTCCAACTCCGCTTGAGAAGCGTGTTTGTTAAGCAATGTCGCGGGGGGGGGGGGGTCAGTACACCCCCAACCCCCCCCCCCCCCCCAGCTGAAGGCTAAGCCATCCGAAGGTATTTTCTTCTTAAAACGTTGGTACAGCCTCTACTCACACGTGGGTTGAGAGCTGGAGCAGAATAATGACAAACTCATTTCACATCGTTAATCATTCGGTTTAGTGTTGAATAACATTGGCATTCGTCACCTTCTCCCCCCTCCGATTTAAACAAGGTCACGCTACAGGGCTATGTGGAGGTGTGACGCTTACCTGCTCCTCATGCTGCCACTGCTCCTGTGGGCAGCCCCCCCTTTGAGCTGACAATCCACAGGGCAGCGACCCGCTTCATACACTGCCTTCATGCTCCCGGCTCCCAAACTTCACGAACAATCTTACAGAATGCCCGTCTCTCTGCTCTCCTGCCTGCTCCGCCCTGCCAGCGCGCGCGCGCGGGTGTGTGTGGCGTTAAATCACGCTCCTGCACCTAACACAACTTTTTTCACGGTCTTTGGGTGGGCTCCAGCCCACCCCCCTGGGGCAATTCTGAATAATCGTCGTGCACACAGAGGGAGGGAAGAGAGGAGGTTCCAGCATGTATTATGCGGATGTTCCCAATCGCCAGCAGAGCCAAGCAGTGGCTGACATGCTACCACCCCCGGGCAGCATAGCTGCAGATTGAAATACAAACGCAATCACCCAAATTTATTTCCACGTTGACAATGTGCAATTTATATTAGACTAAGTACAAAAAAAGAGAATTAATATTTACGTCACTTTTAGAGCCAATGAGCAAATCAGCCTGGATGTGTGTGTGATCTAAACAGGTATCAGAAGCTAAGCTGTTTGAGCCTGGACAGCGTCTTGGGATGGGTGATCACCAATCGTGAAGTACGGTCAAATAAACTGCACACACAGCGTGGCCTCGGGAGGCACTCACCCAGCAGCAGCAGTGGACAGACAAAAGCGCTGAATCTCCAAGCACCGTACACAACATAAGTTTTTTTTTGTTAAACAAGTCATTTTTATTTTTGCTTATAACAGCACTTAAGTAGACTCGCAATTAACCCGTAGGCTTTCGCGGACAATAAAATTCAACCAGCAACATCAGGCCTTGCGATGCTGGTTGTGATCACAAGCGAAATGTCATACCCAATTGTAAATGTTATGGGTTTGCTCTCCGGCACACACCGATGTGCTGTAGTAACATACTGGCAGGTTCTGTTCAAGTGACAAACCTTACCGATTGGCTGTGTCAGATGGAGCTGGGTATATGATACATTTACACGTTTTAATAAAAAACCTCAGAATTTCACCGCTGCTTATTTTAGATGAAGCTGTGCATGTGACTGTTGATTGCATAACAATTCCAATGCCACTTTTACAAGACGTAGAATGAACCAGTTTCATGCAATCTATTTGATTAACCAGTTCATGCAAAGCTGGAGAAAATTACTTATTTCTCAAATATGGACAGGTATAACCTACTGCATAAAGGTAGCTAATCTTTTAGAATGCTTTAGTGAAAACGCCATCATTCTTGAATGTAAGGGAGCTTTTGTCTACATCACCAGCTGTTCGCATCATGCTTTGGTTTACACACAAATATGAAGACTGTGCAGTACACTATTACATAGAGATGACTTTACTTAAAGTTTTATTTTGCAATTGGAACTGACCTTCAACACATATTGCTTCAAAACAACTCAATAACAATGACATTTCTTTGTCTAATATGTTGCAGCTGTACAAAATCTATAACTGTAAAAAACAGAAAATATTCAGTCCATCGACAAGGTCCATTTGTGTCTTCGGTACGGTCTTCTCAACATCTCCGTGGGTGAGGCAAGCGGCGCGCCAGGCAGGTGGGCAGCGAGTCCCCCCCCACTCTGCAGGCTACCTCGACAGCCCCCAGGGTCAGCAGACGTACGGACACACGCACGGACGGATGGACGCACGCACGGCTGATCACGCCGCCTCCCCCTTGCTCTCTTGCGGGTCGCGGGACTCAACGAGCCCCAGCAATGCGGCGTCGGCTTCCAGGAGCGTCGTGTCCGTCTTGGCACCGAGGAACCGTGCCGTCATCTCCAGGTCGATGAGCCGGAGACGGACCCGCGCGCCGCGTTGGTACTTCCTGAGACACGGAGGGAACGCCCGATGAAATTAATGGGCGCGCAATGATGCATCGGTTAATCCATTAATAGTTGATTCGTACGCTCAAGGGGCACGCATAGAACCGTAGCGAGAAACGACGATCAATGTAAAATGTATCCTAGGTTAATGGCATGAACAAAAGTGTACAAACGAGGCAGAAAAAAAGAGAAAATGTAAACGAGATGATACAAATTTGAATAGAATTCCGACCCTCGATTTGTTTAAGGAGCGAATTATTCAACGCCTAAATTTGCATTAGAGAACCGATTCATCCAAGTCACCCAGGGGCAATTGTTATTTTATTAGAATTCAGGGCAAATGTTATGTTTAAATTATAGCATTTTCAATCTATTGCTGTTTGGAAATGTTACAAACTATTCGAACACACTTATAATTTATTAGCAATCCAGACCGAGGTGATTATTAATTGCATGCCATGGTGTTTTGTTTCTGTACAATGATGACCACCACACAAAGATTTTTTTTTATTTTAAGTTTCACAATGCACAGACACGGTCCGCTGAGTTCCCCAAGCTAAAGCTGCCTAAAGAATGATTTAAATTTTCATTAAACCATATCAATTGGGATTTACAATCCATCCCATACTTTCCAGCAAATGGCAAACTTAAGCCCTGACAATAAAATCCCGTCGGGTATGATGCATGTGGGTAGATATACCGATGGCCTCCTGAGCAGAATTAATTTAACACCGCGTACGTCGACTCTCAATCACCTGACGCTGCACAACTCTCTGTTCCGCTCATTCGCAGCCTGATCAGGTCTGCCCCAGTATCCAGCTAAATGCTACCGATGGTTCTCTCCCAGTGTTATCGTGGGGAAGCAGCAGCAGCAGCCCCGCACTAGCGCAAGTGACAGGTGCTCACTCGAACACCCGTGATTGTCACGATCGTGTTTCCAGGCTGGCAGGGTGGAGTTCGAACTCTGGCATTAAGGCGATAAAATATACCTGGCCGAGGACCACTCACAGCGCCCGTTAAAATATTAGAATCAGAATATTTATATATACTGGAGGAATCCGATAGGCTATAAAGCTCTTTTTCGCATATATCCAGTAGGTGCCGGACAGAAAGCTACAACAAATAATACAAAACACCATAGGAATGCGAAGTATAGGAAAGAAAAGCAAACACACACAAAATGTCTTTTTATTTTACCAGCCAAAGCCCACTGAGCTATTAGCTTCTTTTTCAGAAGCGATCTGGCCACTAATGATAGCTCAACGAAGTGGCTCATCATGTAAAAAAAGGTGTCAGTTTTGTTGCCAGATAAAAGGGTAAAAAACCAATTATCATATTTTTTACTGGCAAATGGGGTTCCAATGGTGTAAATGCTTCACCCCGAGCTCTCATACTCTGATGGTCCATTGTCTTTGAGTTGTGCGCCTTTTGGCGTCATCTGGTCCAACACCATGTGAGACTAGGCTCTAAGGAAAGCTGTCTCGGGTGTGGACCAATCAACTTCAAGGACAGTGCATACATTATCAGCGTTATGTTTTCTGTTTGCATTATGACTGCAGGTATTGTGGTCTATGCAAACATGACTCCTTGTAAAAAAGGTGTCAGTTTTGTTGCCAGATAAAAGGATAAAAAACCAATTATCATGTAAAACCGTTCAGAGAAACTCTGAAGATGAAACATTTATAACACTCCTCAACCAGACTGCTGTGATTTTGCTGCATACGACGGCATTTCCACTTAAAATAATTTGAATATTTAAAAAAATATATGCCACTTAATAAATGTAAAAGCGCTTCACGGGGTCTAACTTTACCAAGCAAGTACGCACGCACTTAACGCGGACGCGAAAATGATGATGAATGTGAATGGGCCCCCTTAAACACTTTGATATTAAAATGCCTGGCAAGGGTAAAAGTTCACCCAAGGCTAATGTGCTTTGGACGAGGCGCTTTGATCCCATGGAAGCTGCAGTCGGGCACGGACGTCACGCAGCCCCGGCCGCCCACTCCACGCCAAAAACCTTGGCTACCTCTTTGTTTCTGTTCTTTCACGACTCAATGTGCCGGCTGCACTCTCCGCGCCGAACAAAGCTGCCAGGCGTGCGCTAAGAGCGGGCGCAGTGTGGGAAATGTGGAGGTGGTACAGAGCCAGCGTTGTGTGCGCACAGTCGCAGGCAGGAAGGCTGGGATAATTATAGATAAAAAAAAACCATTGACTCATTTTGTACAAAAGACTCATAAAAAATCAACCCCAACTGCAGTGTAACACACTATGTGCATTTTCATGCTTTAATTAAACCAACCAATTCTGCTAGAGTGGAATGTATTTTTCATACATTACAAAAATGTTAATTACCGACGATGAATGTATAATAGAAACATCTACATCTGAAATCCTATTTATACACTTACTGGATAGCAATAAACGTAAAAATATTTTAACGCTATTTAACGTATACTACACGTCCAAATTATTCAAGTGTAATTTTTATTTATCATGCTACGGAATTTGGGACTCGAGGATTGAAAGTGACAGAGTTTGACTATATCTTAAAAGTATTTTTTTTAATTAAAACTTAATTAAGGATAATTACAAACAATTACAGGGGTAAGTGTGATGTGGAAGCTTTTATAATAACCCACAGGCCTAGTACGCACAAACATAATGCAAATAAAGACGATTTCTCGAATTAGCAAAGATTCATTTTGAGTAGACAAAATATATTCATGCGATTACACACAGGGTGAGGCAAGTCACCACCTGAAACTGCATGGGTTCTGTCATTTTATTTCCTAAACATGGATGCCATAATTATAAAATTCCAGAAACATGATATCTTTGTCGGTAGGGAAAATACTGGCTGGTTGACTAGGAGTGTATCGCAGAAGTTAGCGCAATGCACTTTGCACCCGACAAAACTGTGTTTTACTCCTAGCCAGGGCCAACATCAAAGGGCGAGTGATGTCCTAACCAGTCCCGAGCCCTCTTAACCAATCCTTAATTAGCAGCGTGGTGAAGTACGGTCAAACAAGCCATAAGACCCACACAGCGTCGGGAGGTCTTCATTCAGCAATAGATTGAGAAATGGTTGTTAATACATTAAAAAAACTTCGTGCATGCCTTCCCCCATTCATCATGTAAAAAAAACCTAGCCTTTCTGAAAGAAAAAAAACCCACCCTTATATCAGAACAGCTAGGAGGCAGACCTTTGTTTTCTCACCTGCACCTACCCAAAGACACCATGATCAAAGCCAAGACGGGAACACAAGGGTATCATTTCAGTGAGGTCCGAGACCTCTTTTCTTTTATTCTCTGCCTCCCTAAGATCTAAAAAGGACCAATGCTACTGCTTCAGGAGGAACAAGTCAAAACACGCTCTGTTCGTAGCGCCGGGCGTGATCGCGTTAAAAACAAGGACCCCTCTTGATCGGAGCTTCAAACCGCCACACTTCTTGCGGGTAGAGGGCGACATTCGGTAGCAAGCGTCCTGCTCAGACGTGAAGCCTGTAAGGCCTCACCAGCAGCCAGATTCTCTCACATGAGAGGCACAGAAAAAATACAGTTGTGTACTGGGGGTGCAACAATTGAGTTCCCAGACTTGATAATAATTTTGGACACTGCATCGGATGGTAGATCCCCTCATGAGTATAGCCATGACATGAACCCATTATATGCAACATACATGAAAATAAATGAATAATTATTGCACACATGATTCAATGGGCATAATTGTGAAATAAAGAATCGATAATGAGGCAATGCATCGTTTCACCTCTATTACATATTGCACTCCTCAGAAACCTTAGAGCCTTTCCAACTCTTTTTAAATTCAATAATTATTTTTCCTGTTCCTTATTCTATGCATATTTACATGTTACATATTTACATCAAATTATAGCACCCACCCACCAAATTTACCACCTCTCACCCTACTCTGATTAATAAAATATGATTACAGTACCATCATTCATCTGTCCTTCAGGGACATCTTTGACCTCTAAAACACAAGGTACGATAAAACGTTTTTACTGCAAACTATCTGTAAACTCAATGGTTGGGCATGTGTACAAAATGTAACAAACTTTGTGTTATCCAGTCGTGCGATTATAAGTGTAAAAGGCAGCAGTGACTCAATTCATATTTAAGATTAGCCAAAACATTGAACTCAACAAAATATTTCAAATCATACGAATCTAACGAGCACTGGCCAATTTTAGTTTTACAGGCAATAGAACTAATAATCTCTATGCTTTAAATGCCTGCTGTGATAAATCAATACAGTGGCATGCCGGGGGAAATGAGTACATACAATTAAGTTATATACATCAAGGCAACTGAGACACTTCAGTGTTATCTCTCTACTTCCAGAAAGAACAGCGTGTATTGTTAACAAAGGCTGCCATTGTATTCACTCTTGATTTCAACTAAGTACCGGTTATATCTCAACCAGCATAAAACTAAAACACTTAATTGGGCACGTAACAATTTATCAATTAAAACATATATTTGCACTCCCAATACACGTGTCAAATCGTGCATGTGGCAGCCAATTATTTGTGATTTATGAAAACGATGTGCATATGCTCCAATTAGGCTTAATGGAACAAATGGAACTGTATGCCTGAGACAGTGCAAATTAAAGTGGCCAAAAAATAACCGATTCTTCAAACTGCAACCCCAACACTGTTGGGTGTGGGGGTTGTGGTTTGAAGAATCAATTATTGGGGGAATAGTTACACGCTCTTGCTACATGCACTTGTTTATGAAATGCCCGGGGTTGTGCTCCGAGCAGCAGCATGGAACTCACTCTCCGTCCACGGCGGGGCGCTGACACACGCAGTGGAACTTCCCCCCAAAGTCGATGTAGAGCTCATTCTCCACCACGTGGAAGATGCGTCCCAGAACGAACTTGTCCTTGGCAGGGCCGAGCTGCATGAGTGGGGACTTGCGCAGCATCTCGGCAAACGTCTCCTGCACTCGCCCGATGCGCAGTTCGTGAAAGTAAATGGAAAAAACGTTGCGTTACACCCGCACATCTATGTTCAAATTGCAAACAGAAATATGGCTTTATTAATTTGGCTCTCTCAGCAAATACCATATTAGTACACAAATGCATTCTAAAATAATTTGTATTCATTATTTTCCAGTTACCAACCCAATCTGTAACATAGAAACACAACTAAATATTAATAAAACTAAACTAATTAGGAAGCATTCAAAAGAGAATGTGTTTCCAGCGTAAACAGCGTGAATTAATAACATCCTGTCGCCCAGACATTAAACATTGCCAACAGCGAACTTAATGAAACCAATGTTGAATGTAATTTCTATTTTACATTAATTTACTCACAAGAAAGCTCAGAGCAGCTCATGTTACATTAACAGAAATTACTTTAAGTAACATGTTATTGTGGCTGGAAATATAACCAAGTCGTGACTTTCTGGAAAATATATTTTACATATGCAGACAGCAGCAACGGTATAATTTACTGTGCACTTTGGAGGTATAGTGAAGGGAATATCCACATTATCAAAACATTATTCAATGTAGGACGATGCAAATTTGAGGGTTTAAACAAAAACATTGCTAGAATAGTGTTCATGTGATCCGTTAAATGTAGAGTAGTCACTTTAAAGAAGCGGTCGGGAACCTATGGCTCACGAGCCATATATGGCTCTTTCGGTGACGGCATATGGCTCCCAGACAATTTTGAGTTGAAAAAAATGAAATAAAAAATCAGTTTGGAACTGATTTTAAAATACTTGTGATATTGCTTAATAATACTGTGTCATTTTAAAGTAAACAGAAATTAGTTTTAAAGATAAATTTCACGGGTCACGGGGCCTCAACGCCTGCATGAAGCTCAACCTCACCACGTACGAACCAGACTACAAGGCCATCAGCAAAACCATGCAGCACCAGAAGTCGCATTACAAGTAAGACATATTTAATTTATTATACGTTAAAAATACTATATGGCTCTCAATGCAATATATTTAGAAATATTTGGCTTTTACGGCTCTCCCAGTCAAAAAGGTTCCCGACCCCTGCTTTAAAGCCTCGAAATTTCCCTGTGTATTATAATAATTATATTTTACAGGGATTAGTCGATCCACCGCTGCATGAGGGCCTTCTCTGGCGTGTCAGGCATGGGGATTGTATGACCATACATCACCACAATGGTCAATGCGGCTTGGTGAATGGATGTCTCAGACCAGTTCAGGCATCGCTGCACTCATGTTAAGCGGACAGAAATCGAACGCCAATATTGTGTAGAGCGCAGTGCGCTAACCACTCCACCCCCTGCAGGTACCAATTTGAAAATGCAATAAGTCTTATTGGTGCAGACAGTGCCATCTACTGCTTCGTAAAGTTTACACCGGTACGTATTGGGAAGTGACCTCGGTATCTTGAACTTCATTCAATCTTGAAGTATGCGCGAACCGACGCAGTCACTATGCACAGATCTCATCGCAAAGCAACCTCGTGCCCTTCACCAGCATTGGATCTCAATAAAGCCCGACTTTGCTGATGAGACGTTGAATGTCGAAACCAGTCATACCTGTCAACCCATACGGTCTACCCGTATTCTTGTACAGGAAAATAGAGTTTTCAGGTCCATACGGCGTACAGCCGTTTCAATACGGGCACAAGTTTGTGTTGCCTGTCTGTGTTTCTCCCGTGTGATCGGACTTTGTAGGATGAACGCTGAGATTCACGAGGGTCACGGGGTGACCAATAAGGTCTGAATTGGTCTGTAACGAGGTAGGGCACTGTTAAGGGGATGACAGCTATGAAACCTGCGCCAAGAGCTTGCTTGTGTTGAACCAATGCTGCTGAAATGACGCACTCTCATTAGGCCGTGTGGTCGCCGTGCAAATTAATTGTATGTTTCTTCAAACTTATTTTTGTTAATTTGAGGCTTTCGTGACTGCAGGAATCCATACTCTTTGGTTCTTTCGGTAAAGCCACGTAGGTAGAAAATAAAATAAAAAAATAAAAACCTACGTGACTTTACCGAAAGAACCAAGAGTATTATCTTTGTTACTCGTATTTTACCACAGCGACGCGAATGATTATCTGGTGAATTAAGTCTCCCCAGAACTCGAAAAAGCTCAGCAGAGGCCGGGCCCCGGGTGAGTGACCGCCGAGCAGGTGGCCGAGGGGCAGCGTGGTCGTGGTGAGGGCAGCGTGGTGTGCAGGGCAGTGTGGTGTGCAGGGCAGCGTGGTCGTGGTGAGGGCAGCGTGGTGTGCAGGGCAGCGTGGTGTGCAGGGCAGCGTGGTGTGGTAAGGGCAGCGTGGTGTGCAGGGCAGCGTGGTGTGGTGAGGGCAGCGTGGTGTGCAGGGCAGCGTGGTGTGGGCAGCGTGGTCGTGGTGAGGGCAGCGTGGTCGTGGTGAGGGCAGCGTGGTGTGCAGGGCAGCGTGGTGTGGAGGGCAGTACACCAACATTGTACGATCGACACCGCCTTTAGATGCCCCCTGCGAGTATGCTCTCCCCCTAGACCAGCGTGGTGAAGTATGGTCAAACAACCCCCGCAACGTACAGACGGGGGCCGTCATCCAGCAGATTGATTTCGAAGCGGGTCTGAGCGTGGACTTGCTCGAGTCACCTTGTCCTTGCCGGGGGTCTGCCGCGAGTGTCTGTCCCACGCCGCCGCGAAGCCAGGCTGCACGGCCCCTGCTGCTGCTGCCCCTGCTGCTGCTGCCGCCTCGTCCCCTCCGCTAGCCGCCAGGCCGCTCTCTCGGCGCCTCGCCCCGGGCCCGGGGAGACCGCGGGGCTGCCTCGACCTCGCCCCGGCGGCGCCGCACGCCCAGCGCGGAGCCGCCTTCCCCGCCGCCACAGACATCATCCTCATCCCCATCACCGCAGACATCGCCGCCGCCGCCGCCGCCGGCTTAACAGATACCTGTGAGGGGCAAGCGCGGTTAGCGAGCGCCACAAATCAACCACCACCACCACCAACAACCGGGCACGCAAGGTCGCTTCACTGCTCGCCGTGGGATGCCGCGTCTATTGAGGAGACGCGGTGCAAGTGGCGGCCATGTTAGGTAAGGAAGCCCCCCCCCCCTCTACCCCCCACCTCTCTACCCCCCACCCCACTACCCCCCACCCCACTACCCCCCACCCCTCGTACCCCCCACCCCACTACCCCCACCCCTCTACCCCCCACCCCACTACCCCCCACCCCACTACCCCCCACCCCTCGTACCCCCCACCCCACTACCCCCACCCCTCTACCCCCCACCCCACTACCCCCCACCCCTCTACCCCCCACCCCTCGTACCCCCCACCCCTCGTACCCCCCACCCCACCCCTCTACCCCCACCCCACCCCTCTACCCCCGACCCCACCCCCCACCCCACTCCACCTGGATGCTGCGTGTCTTGGGCGGCTGTGCTGAGACGGTGCCGCAGCCGTGGAGGGGTGGGGGTGGAGGGGTGGATAGGGGGGGTGGAGGGGTTGGGGGGGGGGTTGAGGGGTGGGGGTGTGGAGGGGTGGAGGGGGTGGAGGGGTTGGGGTTGGGGGGGGTTGAGGGGTGGAGGGGGTGGAGGGAGGGGTGGGTGGAGAGGTTGGGGGTGGGGGGGTTGAGGGGTGGGGGTGTGGGGGGGGTGGAGGGGTTGAGGGGTGGGGGGGTGTGGAGGGGGTGGGGGGGGGTTGATGGGGTGGGGGGGGTTGAGGGGGTGGGGGGGGTTGCTGCGAGCCGCTGGGACTGCGGCGGCGGCTCTACCCCCCCCCCCCCCCCGAGTAAGATGGCCGCGTTTGACGCCTCCACGTGCACGCGCAGGGCAGTCGTCGCCACCCAGTCAGCGGGACTTAATATTTACATGAGAGACGACGTTTCGGGCAATTGCCCTTCTTCACGGCACACGATTCGAGGAAAAGGAGGGGTGGAATATGAGCGGCAGAAAATCGATTATCGCAGGAAACTCGCGACGAGTCGATTATTTACAGCTCAAATGTGATTTTGCTGTTGCTCAGATGCGCGGTGCCCATCTCCTACGTACACTCCACGAGCCAGTGGTGGAAATTCCCCATTCCTATGGCGGCGGGCGAGTCTCTCCACAGGACAGCCGCTGTTGACTTTCCCACAAAGTGGTGCTCGTTTTACAGTGCCCGCAGGGATGATGGGCTGATTCATCCCCAGCGTTAGAACTCGTCGCCTTCAATCGTGCACCGCTCGCTCGACCAATGAACCACCTGACTGACCATCAACTAACGCAGAATCGATGCAAATCAAATGATGCAAATACAAAAAAAACATTCTCATTTTTGGCATCACGATTCAATAGTGATTCAAGAATCAACGATTGATGTCCTATTCATATTCTTTGGGTCTTTCGGTAAAGTCACGTCGATAAGTTGATTTCCTCTGTGTGGACAGATTGTGACACCGCTTACTGTGATCTTGGCAGGACGAGTATCTGGAGCCCGGGACACTGAGAATAAAACAATTCCAACACATATCCATTGCTGTCAACCCATATTCTTGTACAGGGAAATTGAGTTGTCAGGTCCATACGGCGTAAAGGCGTTTCAATACGGGCAATGGGACTTTGTAGGATGAACGATGATATTTCTAAGGGCACGGGGTGACTAATGTCTGAATTGGTCTATAATAAGGCAGGCACTGGTGAGGGGTTGACGGGTTTGCATATGTCATGTTTTATATGTTCGTGGGGCCCTATTAAGTTTTGGGCCCTGCACAAATGTCCCCGCTTGTGTTCTACTACACAATCATTTGTGCCTCAAAAAATCCCTAAACAACTCCACGAGCACTGCTTTCATCACCACATTCTCTACTGATGTCCTCACCACGCCATCCAGCATGCTGGGGAGCAATGGCTCGTGCTGGTTTAGGCGTGTGGCGTTCGTGGGGGTTGACCATACTTCACCAGCCTGGTCAGTTTGGGTTGGTGCTGGGAGCACATTTGATCGAAACTAATCTTTTTTAAAAAATGTACCAGGCAAGGCCCACTGAGCTATATAGCTTTTTTCACAGCTCAACGAAGTGGCTTATCACGTGGACATTTATAGCAGCCAAATACGGTAAACGCATGTTGATTCTAAAGGTGGAGGGAAAAACCGGAGGATCTGGAGAAAAGCCGACCACCGGAGAGAGAGAGACACGCAAACTCCAAATATACAGCAGGCGTCAGGGTCGGGATCGATCCCACGACCTCATGTATACCAGGCGAGGTAGTTAACATGATGAGTGTGACTGGCGTAGGTGACGCTATCCAGTGTAGCTCCTCAAGTCTTCTGGAGCCCGGAGCTTCGTCATGTCACGGCAGCGCCCCGCTGAAGAGAATACCGCCGTCATACAATATACATTAACACGGACAAGGGTCTGTTTTTACCACCAATAAAAGAAAACAACATTTTGGTCCCATTACCCGATGAGTGGCCTGGACCAATTAATTATAACAGCATACTGTTGGCTTTTTATCGCTTGTGGTGTGTAAGAGCAAGCACAGTAATTTATGTGGTAGGTGCGCTTTCAAAACCCTGAAAGGCAGGCGAGGTCCTGATGACACAGGGTGCAATTTTGCATCAGGGAATCGAGGAAAATACAGGGTGCAAACAGAGTATAACGAAAAAAAAAATGCACAAACCAACAGAGACCCAGCAGAAACACAATGACACCGTAATCACTCACTTGTATAACCTCTGCAATTCACGAAAACTCACACATTTATCGGCACTTATTTCGTTGTATTCGTTTTGGGATATATTTTCAGTCTCTCACATACACGTCTGCCTATATACCCTTTAAAGTAATATGCCAGTTGATAGAAAGCCTCTGACATTTGGAAGACAGCACACCAAGCCGGACGCTTTTTGTGACTAAACATTCAATTTGTTTGGCTTTGTAACTGTATGTGACAAGTCCCCGGAGGAGTGATTGCTCTTGCATTGAAACCTTGTGCAACAGCTCCGCAGAAAGGGCAATATCTTGTGGAGCATAAATCTTAAGTGTGCAGCGTCTTGAATTTACAACACGCATTAGCAGGCCAGACATACGCGTGGCTTGAAGGAGGATGCTGTTTTTGGGGTTAGAGGTTTTCTGGCTAAGGGTTGGGATTCTGCAACAGTTTTTTTGTGGATTAAATGGAATTCTACATTCCAGCTTGGCCATAATATTAAGAAGCTAGTCGCTGTCTGCTCTGACCAAGTCAGCTGGAACAAATCACCTGGGATGCACCCGATCTCATCAAATGTCTTAAATTAAGCGGGTTGGATAGTGCTTGGAGGGTTAACCACCACCATGAACAAGCATGTTGCCATTGGCTGCTTTGCGGCTGCGTGGTGGGCAGCAGAAAGCCGTGCAGTACGTTCCACTGTTGTACTGCTATGCACCTTACGACTGTTCTCAATGCCTTAACCAACCCGCTCTGATCGACGGGGTGAATTTTGATCAAATAACCCCCACAACCTATATGACGTGTGAGGGCTTCATCCAGCAGTGGATTAAATGAGAATGGCTGGAGCTTACAGTCCACTCGCAATTATTTACATGTGCATTGGCCAGTTGGAACAGAGGGGAATTGCTCATTCGAATGTTTTACTGCATGAAATGTGGGACTCTAGATTCCAGCTAAATTGTTAAAATCTAAGAAGAATTTTTTGAAAAAATTGCTCCTTCTGAATTTAATGAAATGTAAAAAAGTGACAAAAAATAACAATTGGACTTCTAAGTGGGCATTTATTGAAGTATTTTTACTTCCGGAAATTGCAGTACTCAAAGACGTCGAAAAAATTCAGGACATTTTATGTGCGTATTTTAAATTCTGAAACAAATTATGGAGGAATAAATATATTAATATACTTTTTCAAGTCAAAATTTGATCACAGATTAAAGTCTCGGCATACACAAAGAAAAAGATCCCCATGTAGTCTTTAACAGACTATTGGGACAAGCGTTATTAGCAAGCACCGATGAAGGCTGGCATGTTACACGATGGGGTGGGTAGCCAACATCACACCCATTCCACACAGCACCAGGTAATCATTTAAGGTTAAGTTGACCTAGGGGAGGCCCAGGATTTGCTCAGATAATTTTTGCTGTAGTTGGCCGTGAGCGCAAATCAAACTCGGTTCACTGGGATCGTTACGCAGTCGCTAACCAGTGCGCTCACCGCTCCTCACACACAAATACGTATACACACAGACGCTAATTATACATGCATATTGTGAATATGTGGAGTGACATCGCGGATGTCACTGTGTGGTGCCGGCCCTAGAGGGGCACGGCGTACGATGTACTCACATCGCGGACATCACAGATGTAGCGACATCGTGGATGTCACTGGGTAATGCCGGCTCGAGCGAGGCACGGCTTGCGATGCATTGCCATCGCGGACACCCCGTAGGTGGGTGTAGTACCAGCCCTAGTGAGGGCTTGGTGAGTGCCTGGATAGCGCTCAGTGGCACCACGCGTGGCGTGCAGTGCTGACTCCTACGGAAGCGAGTGTAAGAGTGTCAGCCATGGGATGAGGTTACCCGAGGCCAAGGCACTTTGGTTGACCCTGCAAGACACGTGACCAGTAAGATCTACACAAAGGCCCCAGGTGGGGGCTGGGGGGTGGTCATGTGTCAGGGTGAGATCCTACGGGAAGGGACGAGAGGTTTCTCGAAGGTGGTTGTGGCCAAGAGCGGGGCCAGCCACGACCCGGGAGCATATAAACCGGGGTCCGCACAGGGACCGGGGTTCAGCGTTGCTGTTGTCACCTGAAGATCTACGATCTATGTTCTCCGTCCAAGAGAAGAAGTCACCAACACGTGGACGAGGACCCCAGCTAGGGTCCTGTCCGTTGTAGCTACTAACAAGCGTAGTTAGCCTGGTGGTCAACCACCAGAGGTTATAACCCCTTTGTGTTACGTGTTGGTGTTAATAAATATGTGTTGCCTCCAAGAAGTAAGTCTGCGACTCAGTTGAATCCACTACATTTGTACTAATCAATACAATCGATACATATTGATGAGTACATATATTCATTTCCATTTTAAGGAGACTATAAGCCATACTTTTAAATAACAGGAGTACAGTTAACCTCAGTAATGGAGATTCATTAATCCTGTACATTCATGCAGACATCTACATACAGTCACACCGTGTCAATTATATGGGGATTGATCATACTTCAGTACAGGTCGGTGTAGTGGGGGGGGACCTGGCGGCGGCTCAAATATCAGTCAGGTTCATAGTGCAGTGTGCATACTGCTCATTACCACATACACGATACAGCACTCTGTATGCAATGGTGTACATAGCTACTCACAATCAGTCTACGCAATCACCAATACATGAGTGATCATAGTTTCTGAGCATGCCATATACGGAACAATCTTTATATATAAAAAAAATAATGAATGTTTTAACGTTGTGTCCTTGTAGATCAATGTGTGCATCGGCTTTGAGCATTCTTTATTATTAGATACCAGCCATCATTAACTGCATCGGTCAATGCCATCCAGCTCAAACGCTTTTGCAATACAATTTTTTTTAATCAAATGTAAACAGGTCAGACAGCTTTAAACTTCATGAATAAAAAGCCAAGGCATTATTTTGCATTGGTATACTGGGTATCAAAGAAAGTCAGTGCGGCATGAGATATGATCTTGGGTACCACCTTGGTACAATGCTTGTACTTTTTCCAATTTAATTCTTCAAAGATTCATTGCTGAAATTTATTTGTAAAATAAGAATACCTAGTGATGTGTAATTGCATGTCCCAGGCAGTTGACTGGTTGAACTTTATATACATTAATAATTCCAGAAAAAGTGCCCGCAACCCTTTAAATGTAACTTTGAGGATAATTGCATCGGAAATGAATCGCTACTATTTAGAGATACGATTGAGATGGTGGAACAAGGACAAACCACACATTTCATCCACGTGACAAGCCAAAGCAGGGATCTTCGCAGCGTTGCCCAGATTCGGCTCGGGTCCCTTGAGGGTTTTTCACTTGAGGTCACTGCTCAGCACCTGTCGACAGCAACTCATCTTGAATTCGCTTTATATCGGGTCAAGGCTTTCTTTGCATCCCCTTTGAATGGCGCCTCGTGACAAGCCCCTGGATCTCACCAACGGCTGACAGCAGCAAGTTGTCAATAGGCAGGGATGCCTCATTATCACGCTGTGGATATCATTGTTTCACTGAGCCACGCGAGCCCGGAGAGGCCTGCCCTGAGGTCATCTTCGAGGCCGTAATGCTTGGCCCACAGGTTAACTATAAACAACAACCCTGCCGAGGTAAATGTAAGTGTTTAAACATATATTTTTCTCAAGGTTCTACGGATCAATTATTTATTTAGAACAATCAAAACTTTTCTCATTTGCACAAACACGAAATATGTCTAATGTATTATCTATAGCACTTGCATGTTTTTTTGTGGTTTAAAATCTTAATAATTGGTCTAAAAGTACGTGATATTTCAAAGTATGGTTTGGAATATATTTTAATGTCAATTGCAAATACATTTTTAAGCAGTTAGCTTTCATACTAAACAACCTGCAGTTTGGAGGAAAACTGGCTTCTCGACTGCACACACGCACCACTGTGCAGTCGACGTGTTCTCTATTGGAGGTCTCTTTTTCTCCAGTGCTGCCCTCGGGATCTGGAACTCCCCTGGCTGTCATGTCTGACTGCATTCAAGATCAGGCTTATAGACCTGCTTCTCTTTTGGTGACCAACTGTTTCCATCCATTAAATGTCTTATTTAGAGAAGTCCTACCTTCCCGAATATCCCCCCCCCCAACTTCTTGCCCTTTAAAAGAACACCTCTCAAACTGGTCCAGTGTTTCAAACTGGTCGAGTGTTTTTGGTGCGTCAGCACTGAGTTGGTACCGATGGGAGCCTGGGTCCGAATCAGTGCAAACACCCATGATCAATAATACATCGTAGGATTTGCGAGAGTATGACTGATGATGGTCCATGACTAAGCAGAGTTCTTGCAAGTTGATGGTCTCAGCTTGGTCACCAATAACTGCACCCCCCCCCCCTCCAGCTCTGAGAGGGTAAAGTTTCCTTTTGACATGCGATGAGTGCTCTCTGTAGGGTCTACAGTATGGCGGCTTAAGAGGCCGTTGAGTTAACGTCAGCAGCAGCTCCGTGTGATCATCTTGTCGGAGGTGCTCGGTGACACCCGGTGATGCACTACCATCGGCAGAGTCCTGATAGTACATTTGCTCGTCTGTAGCACAACTGGAATGCAATTTGGGAAAAGCGAAATAAATGTGATTACAATAAAAACATACATTTACTTGACTACCTTACCTTACAACCTCGCAATATAAGCAAGTCTTTATGTTCATGCAGAGTGTCTTGAAATGCGGTTGCGTTATTGAAGATTCATGAATTGTGTTATTGTGTGGGGATTTGTATTTTCTTTTCTTATCAATGAACAATTTATTGAACAACAATAGCCCATGATGAAGCAACATTTACGTTGACACCAACGCCTCGTTGAAATGCAGAGTGCAGTCCGGTCGTGCATATTCCAGCTGCGGCTATTCTGTGAATCTTTCTCAGCCGAGTCGAGGAAATGAAAGGTTGCATCTCACACGGGGCTGGTATTCCCCATTAAACGCTTTGCTAAAACCAGATTAATATCCTCTCCGTTGACGAGGGTGGGAAAAATGCGCATTTAAAATGTCGATCGATAATAATGGCAGGGACAATGAAGCAATAACTGGAAGGGTATCTTGGATTATTTGCTTTAAATTGAAAATGCCGTTTGTCGGCACTTCATCAACACTTCCATTATGGTCAATATTTCCATAATACCCCGCGCAGTTTCACATTTCACGCTACATTAAGCACTCCTGCATCTTTAGGTGAGTAAACGATTGCGGTATACTGCAGCAACAACATGTGACCAGCTGGGGGCGAAAAAAATACACACAGTGACACAATCCTTCACCGAGGCATTACAACATTGAAGTGAGATATTTTTACCTTCCACACAAACCCCAATTAAAACACTGCAATATAGTCGCATCCTGTGAGAGCTCTCCACAGACAACTCATTTCCCTCCCCCCCCTCATTGTCTCTCACGAAACGTGAAAATAACATACAATTGTGCTCATCTTGTCAATGGCGATGTTTTCCCCACCAAAATGTGATGAAGGTTATAAACATCTTGCAAAATGGAGGCCACGATTGCAAAGCCATGCAGTACAAGAGGCATCCCGTGGGCTTGCTCATTCACCTGTCCGAGGCAATGACAACACTCAGAGCGGTCAGCGCGCTGCGCTACGAACCCGGCGTGACCCGAGTTGCCGCTCACGACCAACACTGGTGACGATTATCTGATCCGGTCATGGGCCTCCCCTAGGTCGACTCGGTCTCAAATGAGGACCCGGTGCGGTGGTGTGTAAGCATCGCCACTGGGGAGATAAAGGCTGCCGGGCATGGTGTTGACCACCCCGACAGTTTGTTAAGGCTGTACGGGGGATCTTTATCCTTTGGATTATCGGGGGGGGGGGGGGGGGGGGGGAGTCAACTGAGAGGCAAACCGAAGAACCCAATGTGCTTCGCATTTATAGCGTGGGATTTTTCCCAAATGCGCTCCGCGGTCGATGCCAAATTATTACAATCAATTTCAAGTGGCTTTGTGCCGATGGCCAGCTGATGGGCAGCAATCAAATCCTAACACGCAGTTTCGCCAGGACGGAGAGACGCGTGACGCACAAAGCCGCACAATTACAATTGAATCTAATCGCTTGGAATCAATCTGTATAACTGTTTTGAAATCAATTGGCAGTTCACTCGCTTATGAATTCCTGTGCGCTTCAGCATTGAGCTCGGTAGAAATCCATATTTACAACGGTCATTTAACGATCACACCGCTCACCGGGTTTTCTATCGTGTCTTGGATGCACTGACAATGCAATAAAATGCAGTTAGGAAGTTTTTGTCGCGCATATAAATGTGACCGCATCTCAATATACTGTTTATAAACAGTAGGAATGTTCTTTTTATTTACAGAGGGAGCAGCAATCGGTTTCATCGACAGAGACAACCAGGATGTCTCGAGTCTGGACTTGAATCGGGGGCAGGGAGTTGAGAGCACGAACGGCTGAGGGGGGATGGGAGATCCGCACTCTGGGAGCAGCACACAGTCATCTGTGTGCTGTTATTGGCACTAATGTGCAGTGTTAATACGGCAGCGACATTTGGTACACATTTACCACGTGAGTAGTCGCATGTAAATGCTTATGTGACCATGACTCGATATTAATACTGTCTGGTCCAGTGAAACTCCGATTATCCACATTCATACGGGGGTCACTGGTGGTCGATCATATTATTCGTGAACATAACGGCGCATTGTTATCTTGGGATGAACGCGAATAATTGCAATAGGGAGAATCGTCCACCATTGCTGGGTGACATCCAGTCGGCGAAGAGATGGATGGATATTCGGGTGAATACGGTATTTACAGGTAACCACGCGACAACCGTAATAATTTTCAGAAATTGTAGAAAATCAGTCCGTAACATAAACAGAAGTAAAAATATACTCGGGATAAGAGAGCAGTCCTGCATGTACATATACAAATATGCACACAGTATATAATAACAGTTCCGTTTTAATAATAATTCACTGTGTAACAAAAAAATATATATTTTGATCCTGGGTGGTAAGTGTTAATTTCTAATTGCTTATGCCTCAAAAGTACAAAAAATGGCTATTATTCCCCACAAACTTTTATTTTGTGACCAGGACAGTGATATTTTGAAATGTACCTATTGTCAATGAGAAAACGTGTGCATTTGTATCATTCCTTCACACAAAGTCCTGGTCACAAAAACAAAGTTTGTGGGGAATAATGGACATTTTCTATACTTTTTAGGCATAAGCAATTAGAAAATAACACTTACTACCCAGGAACAAAAATCGTGTTACATCGTGTAATGATAGTAATTTACAGTTGTAAGGCGCATTTCATCTGTAGATCCCAATCCGTTGCTGGATGAGGCCTTCCCCACGCCATGTCAGTTCTAGGGGTTGTTCGACCATACTTCTCCATGTTGGTGAGTGTGTTGGTGAGGGGGGGTGAGGGGGTGGCTCAGGATCGGCTGATGTTACCCGTGGCTGGGAATAGAACTCAGGTCACCAGGTTCACTTGTGTGCTGATGAATGTGGACAATAGGATTAATCAGCTGCCGCTTCTGGATCACTCCTCTTATCCCGAACATGCGAATAGGAAGGCGACATCCACGGATAACGGGATTTTCGACAGATCGATCGGGATCCTGGAGTCATGGGTAACAGGGCCACAGATATAAATGATTTCACTGCGCATTCAGAGGAACTGAAGCACGTGTGAAATAGAGCATGCTGGCAATACAATTAAGCCTTGTGTTTTTCTCACGAGCAAAAAAAAAACCATTGCACACATATAGTAAGCTAATTTCTATCGGACACATCATCTCATTTATCAGGCATTGCTTCATTTCACATGATGTGTTAATAGGAGTGGTGGGGTCAGGGAGCAGCGCGAGGTGAGGAGAGTTGTGGGTCGGTGGGTTAAGGGAGGGTTAGAAGCCCTCCGTATAATTTTTTGGCGGGGAAAAAAAAAACATGTTCTATAATAATTGGAGCTTGCAGTCTGGCCTCACAAAAACAAGCCGATGATGAATTTATTTTCGTTCAGCCCAAGAGTGAATATGAGACGCTTTCGCGCGATACGCAGGTGTTTGTGCATGTCCACTTCAGGCTGCGTGCAGATAACACTGCCACCTCGTAGGTGGTCATTTACGTCACTGCATTCTGGGTCAGCGAGTGCCATTCATATAAGGTATGGCCAGTTGTGGGCCAACGAAGTGGCGATCAGCATTAAACAAGGTAAAGACAATGTATGCACGTCTTGATGATGATGTACTCATGGCAACAGACAACTGTTTTTTCTTGACAGATATAATCGATCAAGTACCTGAGAAGATGTTTACATGTCCCAGGGCGTTCACTCCCCAAGAGGGGAGCGGTGGCACGGTGGTTAGCTCACTTTTCTAAGAACCCGGTAACCTGAGTTTGAATCTTAGCTATGGCTAGCATTATTGGCGAGTGATATCTCAACCAGTCCTAGCCCTCCCTTCGTCAACCCTCACTGACCATTGTGGTGAGATATAGTACATACGAAATCCCAACAACTCGGCATGTCGAGGTCTTCATCCAGCATCGGAGTGACAAGCTGCAAATGATTATCCTTGAATTATAAACAGACATGTAACCTCAATGTGTGATGGCCAGTTGGGCTTCGGTTGAATGGTGAAGGTGTAGAGGCCACTGAGTACATTCTAATAAAACCACAGGAGGCCATATCTGGCACGATGCTTGCAACAGGAAATAAGGCTTTGTCAGGTACCCTTGAAACGTGAGCAGTCCTGTTTATTGAGTACTCCCAATTTCGTTTGTGATATCAGACTGACTACCACGAGTAATACCTGAGATCCATTCGGTATTGTCAAAATCCAAATGTTTGAAACCATGCTGGAACAACAATTAAAATTGCGATGATTATCAATATGCGGAATGTCAATTTAGATATTATACATGTGTAGTGTCGTAGGCTTCTGTGTGTGTGCAGGTGGCGTGCGGCGCACACAAACTCAGTTGGAAGCGAGGTAGTCGCAGGGGCCACCGTCCTTCTCTTTATTATCTCTCGTTCACGCCACCAACTCCGGCCCCCCCTCTCTCTCTCACGACCACGCTGCCGCATGACCCGGCCCAGACACGACCCTGTCCGCGTTGCACCGACGGCGTCGACCGGGACAGCCAACTATTGTCCGGCGACGAGGGCGACGACGACGACAGTGACGACGAGACGAGTCCACTCCCAGAATCAGCAGCCCGGAGCTCGCGCTCTACGCTGCTTTTAGTCCCCTCGGCGCGGCTTGGCTCCGCCCTAGCCACGCTTGGCTCCGCCCTGGCCACGCTTGGCTCCGCCCTGGCCACGCTTGGCTCTGCCCTAGCTGTGCCTCTCCTCTCGAACCCACCAGAGGGTTCCAGGGGCCTCCCCACGAGGTCTACCGTGACCATTGCCCTAATTCCTCCGTCCTGCTGGCACACCCGTGGATATGCTCAACGGCGTGTGCGCCAAGTGTCTACCTGCAGTTGCAACTGCTGTACAGCAGTCAGCGCTGTGTCACTGCACATGTGTAGTGGGTCCAATCAGGCGCACACTAGAACTTGGAGGCAACACGGTTTATTAACTAACATCACATAACCCACCGTTCCTACACTTAGCTGTATACACTTGGAGTAGATGGATATTTACATTCTGGATGGGCAACTACAAACCGGACCGGGTCAGCCAACGCGCTGCCTGGTCCACGTGCGCGACGCCCGGAGACCCGGAGACCCGAAGACCCGCTGACGACGAAGGTTTCTTCCAGCAGCATCGACCCCGGTCCCCCCCAGGGTTTGGCTTTTATCCTTACGTCGTGGCCAGGCCCTGCCTTTGGCCACGCCTCTTTTCCGGATCCTTCGTGAGGGTTCAGGGCCCACCTCACGTGTTCCTCAACCCTCCGGTCACGTGCCCCTTCCCGTTTACCCAGCCTCCCCTGGTATGCCCATCCGGTGTCCGGAGAGGCTCCGCCTCTACAGTACCACCCACACGGTATTGTCTTTACACAACGGTACTCATACCAACGACACTACACATATATGCAGATTATCGTTTTGTCCACGTGTTTTTGTTAGATGCTTATATGAGGTATTGCATTTCATTCCACGATTGGGCAATGTACCTGGCCGGGTGGCTTGGCGGTAGAATGTGCGGCTCACAATCAGAAGGTCGCCGAGTTCAAATCTTGGGTGGAGGTTAACTCAACCCATCATCCCCTTAGGGTCGATACAATAGGTAGCACTTTTTGGAAAAGTCAACGACGGTCGACCCCTGCCATGGCAATGTGGAATTAACAGCGATGGCTCAGGGATGTAAGTCGGAAATGAGCATTGCATCATTGCTGTCGTGAGCAAGGAACCACAGAGTCGGTGCTTCACACGTGACGACGGGAAGCAAGTGGGACGCAGTCGACAGCACAAACCACTCTCGCCACCGCCACAGCCATCCCTCTTTGTCTCAGAAAAGCTACAATGATCCACTAATGATGATGTGCACTCTGGGCTTTTGTGTTTTTCCGTGCAGACGCATTGTGTCTTCTCAAGTTATTTATTTATATCTATTGTGAAAACCATTCATAGCCCATTTCTTGGCGCAGCTCAGTCGACGAGCGGTAAGTATCCATTTGAGGAAATCTGTATCTAATTCCGAATTTTGCTTTTACAGCCAAAACACAACCCAAAACGAGAGCTATCAGTTGATCTGACCGATCGACATCCCTGAAATTTCTCCCCAAGGGGCTGAATGCTCACGCGATAGTGAAGATCCTTCCTCGACTCCCAGGATCAGATTTTTTTTAGGGGGGAGGCAAGCACAACATTTGCCCAGGGCCCATAAATCCAGAGGGACCCGCGGAGGAAAAGAAAAAAATACAATTATCGTTTCACTATCAGCAATATAATCAATGCTACCTTGATTAATTGCTGTTTTTGGCCCAGTGTTAATGTGACCCTCGATGTTCTCCTACCGATATCAGGCAGCGAGGGTTTTTGAGTTGTGTTGCGTGTGTATGTCTGTGTGTGTATTCGATTCCTGCTCACGACCGATAACGGTGGCGAATTATTTGAACCCGCCCTGGACCTCCCCTAGGTCGACTCAGCCTTTATAAACGACTACCTCATGGTCCGGTAAACATTAGCGCTTGGGGAGAGAGACGAAGACGGCCGGGCGTGATGTTGGCCACCCACCCCCTCGCGTGCTCCACCGGCCTTCAAGAGGTGATCGCTAACAACACTTGTCCCAACAGTCTGTTCAAGGCTATAGAGGCGGTCGGGCGTCTTTGTATTTGTAGATCCAGCTCTGGTCCAGAGGTTACCGGCTCGATCTCATCTTCCAGCACGGCAGCTGCACCAATAGCGCAAGTTTCTAACTCAAATCCTTCCATCCAACCCCCTCTGGCCACCCAGCTCTACGCGTACGTGGACAACACCACACAGTTTCGTCAATCGGCAGGCCGCGTGTGGTGGGGTAAAGTGTGGGTGGGTAACGCCCACCTCATCCAGAAGGTCTGCGCAAGGTGGAAGAGTGGAGCGAGCACCCTCCGAAGGTTTTTCCGGCAGCAGTGGCCCGAGCGAGCGCTTGCAGGGCCGCGCCTTGTTGAGCTCGAGGCGTAAAGGTCTCCGTCGCCTCGGACGGAGAGCTTGCAGGGCGATCCACTTATCGGTACCGCACTCGCGTAATTGGGAGACGTTGCACAAGCATAGTGCGTGATTGAGTGCTGCTAACCACGCCATCCTATACGCACGCAGCACATTCCTGCCGGCCCTTTTTGCTCGATCTTTTATTTTGTGAAATATGTTTCTGGAACTCAGACCGTACCACGCAATCGTCGTGATAATTTGTAACCCAAACATCTTCTGAAATAGCTGTCGCGTGTGCTGTGCGTGCCGAAGATCTGCGCATCGCCCATCCATGCTGCCCCTGCCTTCCCTGTTCCTCCGTGATATATGAAAGCCATCGCGTTTAAAAAATACAATCACATCGTGTTTAGTAGACATTAACAGGGTCATTCATCCAGCAGTGGATGGATCATGGCTGGTAATTATGATGAATTGTTTTGGAAAATAATTCAATGGCGGTTATTCTGTGCACATTATACGTACTGAAGTTTATTTCTGCATCAACGTATGTGATTAATTAATTAGGAGCGCCTGTATCGGCATCATTGCTTCACTCGGTTGAAACACTGAGCTCATTTAGTAAGAGAGTCTCCAATGAGGCTCTTTAAGGCTTTTGTTGAATGCCTCATCAATGGCTTAATCCATTTCTTTGGAATCCCTAGGGGCTCCTTTAGCCACAAGCCACTGAGCCCCCCCTCCTGCCCCCCCCCCCTAACTCCTCCACTGCCTACCCTAGAGCGCACAGGTTTCTGCCTGTGCGGCTGACAGCGGCAATGAGGAACGCGCCGGGATGGGATAGGGAAGTGCTGCCAGGAACATTGCCATCCTTAGCAGGCGGCACGCGCCAATTAGCAGGTGACGCGGACAGAGAGACGGGGGTTGGGGAGCGTCACGGGGTTTGGGGTGAAACGCTCTCCCCCAGCACACACGGCAGTACACGCAGAGACACTGTGTATGTGTGTGCGCAGTAACAGCAGCAACACGCATCACCACACGTGCACCACTGCTGGTATTCGAGCACGCACAAAATAAACAATAAACAACGCACACGTTCATGGCCACCGCTGACAGCCGTTATTCGATGGAAAGACACGCCCACCTGCCTTAGGAATGTGGAATTGTCTCGGGTGGCCTCGGGCTGTGAACTGCTGCCGAGGCACCGCCTCGATGGTTATCATGCTGCGAGCGTGACTTTTACTCGAGACCGGATCGCTCTCACCGCGCGCATTGTGACGTCTGCACGGCCGCGGATATGCTGAGCGAGACAAGTAACGCGCTCTGCTTCGGTTGAAAATGTAGCAGATAATGGATGTCCGACTCGTAAGGATTTGCCACTCAACGGGTGCTTACATGCGATTGCATCTCACAGTTCCCTCTGTCAATATGAATCTACTAGACATTGTGATCAATTACATAGATGGATAGAAATTGGGTCCAAATTATAACAGCAACTTTAAGGTCCTTGTCAGCCCACTGTGTTGGCCATGGAGGTTTGTGATCATACCTCACCACTTTTGTCATTTCAGGTTGTTAAAGGAGGAGGGGAGCCCATGAAGGGCCCAGTTATCGCTCGCCACCAATGTCAGCTGTGGCTGGGAATAATCAACAAGCCACCGGGTTCAGCACGTGGTGCTCTAAGCATGCGGTGCGCCACCTCTACATCCCAACATCGGCGACTGTTGACCGTGATCGGCCATCTTCACGAGCCGTGTTCAATCCACTGCTGGATGAAGTTGGCCCCAAGCCGCAGCCGCCGCCACCTCTCACGATCCTGCGATGTCACAAATCCTCCCGGCACCCGTGCATCAAACGCCATCACTCTGGTGGACGCCCTCTCGGACGCGTTCCGTTCATCATGTGCGGGAAGGCAAACGATGGAGGCGCAGAGTGTCGCCGTCTTATCGCGGCAGGCCTCCGTCCGTGTGCGACACACGGTGCTTGTGAAACAAGGCGAGTGGTCTTCAATCGAGCCCTACCTGCAGTGTTGTCGTAACCGCCCACGGCCGCCCCCATCTGCACTACACACATCCACTTAGCTAGCATCCCGCCCGGCCTTATTTACATACATGTCAACTTTGCAAGAGTTCCAACCTGGGCAGCCCTTTGATCTCCTACTCCCAGGATACGGCGGATGAAAGCCAAATTATTTCAAGGTCACGGTACAGCAAGGAAGCAATCTGCAATCAAAAACTAATATCCCAGTCCGCATTTCACAAACCGTACACAACGCATATTGTGGGAGCAGTCGATAGCTCACTTGAGCATCATAATAATAATTCACAACCCTTTGCCAATTCACTGCTCGATGAAGGCCTCCCCACGCCGTCGCGGTCATGGGGGCCATTTGACCGTCCTTCACCACACTGGTCAGTGCGGATCAGTCAAGGGTGAGCTCACGAACCTATCACCGCTGATGTTAGCCGTGGCCAGGAATCGAACCCAGGTCGTGAGGTTCGTAGCTAACAATGAGGTATTTTCTCATCGCTCCCCATTGAAGCACGTTGCAATAGGGTGGCGAGGAGAACTTTGGACATCATTGTTGTTCTGTTTTTTTTACGATTATTGTTATCATTTCGAGGGGGAGTGTTTATGTCGAAATGCGTTTCTCTGAAGCCCTCCACTGGCAGTGTTGTTTGATGTTTTGTTTTGGCTCCTTTCCCGTGGATGTTGTTGCGGCTTCGTCTCCGAGTGCAGCGCTGAGTGGAAAGCAGTTGGCCGAGAGACATTATTTAAAATTGGCCCAAAAGAGGTTATTTACTGACCCCAGAGGTCACACATTGACGTCACCGAATTCAGATACATTTTTTTGAAACCATCATACCATCATATAATTTAGTTAATTCTAAAACCACTCTTGCAATCACAGGAAGTGCGAAGTAATTCCGTAGATTTTTTTGCAAATGCTGCCATTGAGATGGGAAAGAGATTCTGTTCGGTGAATGTCGTGTGGCCTGCACTGTACAGGTACAGCCCTCTCGTAAGTCCCCTGGTGGCTGGGCTCTGGAGGTTGTTTGACCATTTTCACCGCGATGGTCACTGTGCGTTGATGAAGGCACGGTGCACAGAAAAGCGATGCGTCTCGGTGGCTCAGCGGGGACGGAAGAATGCAGCCGAAATGCGGAGGCTGTAACAAACGCTTTTATTCAGAATCATTATCTGTATTTATAGTGGCTACAAGTGGCCAGCGTGCGCCACGGCGCGCGTCACAACTTAGCAGACTGCGCCACGTCCGTCTCGGCACGACGATGCACTTCAATACAAAAAAACCTCGACTTTTTAAAATGTATTCATAACAGCGCATTGCAATCACATCGATGCAATGAGGAGGAGGAGTAAAGAAAAAAATAACCGCAACATGTTGAAACATTTCCAGGGACAAAATAATCGTCGGGCATTTTTTGTCGCCGAAACAAGACTCATGAACTGGGCTCACGGTGACAACCGCACGGATGATCCTGAAGCAGACGGTAACTGGGCCTAAGGCAATGGGGGTTCCACTATGCTGTCAAATTACAGGGACAACGCCGCACCACGGAATTCATCGCTGATATTGCGCGACCAAAAATACACCATAAGAACGAACGTGTAAAATCAGCAAAACGTCCAATTACACATGTATATATCTACATCCGAGTTAAAAAAAGGTCAACCAACTAAAGTGGTTATACGTCAACAGCCCCCCACTTCTCCCTTATGTATACGTTAATGACGGATCCATATGCACAATACAGCTTCCATACGCCATAAAAACGTTTTTAGTCACACTCTAATCAGATTTGCCATGAAGGCGTGAGCAATACAAAAATGTACGATTAGTTATTTTGTCACAGTAGGCTGTTATTACATATTTGCAACGGGTAGGACAAGTAGCCGGTATTTGACGTACGACGCGCCGAGTTTACATGTGCGGAATGTACACAGAGTGCGGTAATAGACAAACGCACGTTTCTATCTCCAACACACCCCTGTATCTTCATTGCAAACCGCCGTATTTAACACAACTCCAACCACACAGCACAGCCAAAAACTGCTGCGCGACGTGTTTCTCTTGAGCTTTGCTGAGAGCATGGACATGCAACCCAGCAGTGAATACGATTGCATGCCAGAAATGGCCCTTTTCTCTGTTAATTTCCCATTTAAGAAATCTGGCAGTGAATGAATCAGCAATAGAAGCACATTTCAACGTGGCCACTGATCCATGAGTCCTTTTAAATCTCTCTCATCTCTGAATTTACAAGTGTTTGACTTCTCGCGAGGGTGATGTATTCACATATGTATGCATAGTGAATCGCCACCGCAGCTCCACTGTGAAATTACGACGATGCACTCCGCGCTGTGAAATTAGAAATGCTCTGGTGGTCGGAGCGAAACATCCGTGTGAAAAAAATATAAATTATACATCGCCCCCAAACGCTGCGCTCAGCCCACACGCAAGTGGTGGAGTGGAAGGGGGGGTGCTCAATTTGTTCATTGCAATGGCATTCTGGGGCTTGTTGAGACGTCACAGTTCCACCAATCGGATTACTCGAGGGACCAACGGCGCGCGCTCGGGCACAACTCCAGTTCGTGGTCAGGAAATTAAAGAAATATTCACACGTGCCAATGCAATTAAAGGGTTTGACAACAACAACAAAAACACCGCAGCTTAGTCGTAAAATATAGCTGTGGCGGCAGAAGAGATCGGAGAGTGCCAAGCGACGGACGAACGAGCCAGATACAAAGGTGGGTTGAATCGCTGCCCACCACGGCTGGAGGCCGATAACAACGTGGGATCTCTGTGGACTACGTGAGAGAATCTTCCGGTCAATGACAGCACGGCCGTTCAATTATACTGCGATCCTTTCCCAGTGGTGAAGTAGAGTTAAATCAAGACTGGAAAATATACAGAGGTAGAAAGATGATCCCATTCATCTTCATTTAACTCTCTCCACAGCGAGCTGTGGAATGTAGAAATTCCCCACTGAGGGTGACTCACAACACGAGCCTCTGTGGGACGAGAGACAGCACAGGAACCGCCACAGGTAGCGAGCACAGGGCATTCGTGTCAGGATCTTCATTAAAAGAAGAGCTGATTAAAGTGGGACACGATTGAAGCTGAGCACAGATTTATTGCCATACTTCTCAAAGGCTTTTTTTTTGCCAAATAGGTCAGAGAACAAACCCACCACCCCCCCCCCCTCAAAAAAAAACTATCGTTAAAAACAAAACCAACAAGGATTTGAACTCGCAGGTGACGCTTTCTTTTTGTGACATGCAAATTACAATTCCTGTGTCGTGGATATCACAACGGCGCGAGGCCTGGGAGCGCGAGGAGGGTGAGGGCGGCCGGGTGACCACCGGCGGGGAGGAGCGAGCGAGCGCGCGCCCCACCGCCCGCTTCGGACGGCTCGAGGAGCGACGTCTTCGAAGCCGCCCGTGCGCACCGCGCCGCGTCGTGCCGCTTTGTGTCGCTCTTCGCCGGGCGAGGTTGGCCGTGGGCCCCCGCTGTGACCCCCCGTTGTGACCCCCCTCCTCCTCCCCCATGCCGAGCCAGCGCCGCGGAAGGAGAATCCAGAGGTCTCCGCAGATGCCTATTTAGGCCTGCAGGTCGACACACGCACGCAACAAGACAAAGATCTCCCGTGTAGCCTTAACACACTTTTGGGGCAAGTGCTGCTAGCGGGCACCTATGAAGGTCAGCATGGCACATGAGGGGGTGGGTGGCCAGCACCATAGCAAGGCCGTCTTTGTCTTCCAAGTGGCGATGTTTACACACCGCACTAGGAACCCATTTAAGGCTGAATCGACCTAGGGGTGGCCCAGGGCCGGTTTAGATAACCATCGCTGGTGTTGACTGTAAGTGGGAATTGAACTCTGGAAGCCGTGTTCGTAGCGCAGCGCGCTAACCGCTACACTACCGCTCCCCATAGACACACGTACACACATATTCACACACGCGCGCGCACACACGTGCAGAACTGTATCAACCAGACTCTACTTTGTGTAATTTTTTGATTGAGTAAACGTTGTTGACTTCCATTTGTGTTCCTATTGTTAATGGTCAGCATATGGCGCTGCCTCATGCTTTCACGCCGTCCGGGACCTTTAAGGTTAACATGACATGAGCACAATTTACGCTGATGCCGGTTCATGGAAAATAGTTAAACCCTGACCTGTGGGTCAATTAATTAGAGTGTGGAATTCACCGCATACTTTACTCAGTTGGCCAGGTGTGCTTCATGCATCATCCAAAGCCTGCAAATTCTAATTGTACTCAGGGATAGATTCAGCCTCTCGTCCCTCTAGAGTTTGTAAAATAAGTACCACTTTGTGGGAAGTCAACAGTGATCATCCTTTGGATAGACTGGTCCCTGCCACGGGAATGTGTAATTTCCACCACTCGTTCAGTGCCATAAGAAAAGAGCAACGCTACCCCTACGCTCATTTCAGCATTTTACTTTTTTTTTACAATACTTAACCATTTCACTTTCATAAAATAATCCAGGAAATTAATCGAAGCATTATAGTTTAAAGTAATTTAATATTGTTTTAAAGTACTTAACCTCTGTCGATCCACGACTAGATGAAGACCTCCCCACACTGTGTTGATCATGGGGTTTGTTTGACCAAATATCACCTAACTGGCCAATGCAAGTTGATGAAGGGGTGAGCCCAGGACCGGTTCACACATCACTCACCACCGACGTTTGCCACTGCAGGGAATGGAACCTAAGCCGCAGGGGTCAACAGCGCACTCTTGTTTTGCGTGGTGCAGAGTCTGTCAGGAAGTTGGCCCACGAGGCCCGTGCGTCTCTTCCCAAGGGAGGCACCCGCGTTGGCGTTGAACCAGCGCACACAGTGGCCGACTGGTGGAAAGTGCCGGGGGATATATTTTGTTCTCGAAATGAAACGTCGCGGGGCCATTTGATACATTGTGCCTGCAGCACATTACCAGAGGTACTGGGACAGGGCTCATAACCGGCGCACCTCGGATGCGAAAAGAATAAAATGAAATCAAGCGAGTGGGCGGGTTTTTATATGCGGCACGGCATCACCGTCCTGCAAGCAACCAGGGCTCGCATACAAAGAAGGCCCGTTGGCCTTTAGCGGGCTATTGCGATCTTGGTGGATGATCCTCTCCACAAACGTGTCTGTCACACTTGCAAATAAGGAGCCACTTCTCACGTGCAGAATGTAATTGGATCTTTTATTCCGCAAATTAACTGCAAAAATGTGTACTTCTTTCGAAAGCCACGTAAGTATCCAATAATGTTCCGACATCACGGTATCACGACGTGACCTTTACATACGTAAGGCTATCAAATATTCTGGTTTGGCCCAAACTACCCAGGTGGCCTGAAGATTTTTTTTTAAAACTGGGATTTTGCCCTCAGTTTGTTTTTCTCGCTTCATGTTATGGTTTCATGCTTCAAACCCATCAGGATAAAGGGCGGCGCTACCTGAGTAGTGGACACGGGCGAGTGGTTGAGTGGACATAGATATGTAAAAGTGGGTGGGGCTTATAGAGGGGTGGGTGGGATGGGGGAATCCAGCTCGCTGTACGTCCCAGTTGAGCCTCCCAGACATTCGGTAGCTTCACTTTAAATTGGCCGACACAGTAAAACATTTCGAGGCTACCCTGGTCACCTGGAGAGACATTATAATGAGCGGCAGCCCAGCTGCCCAGGCATATACTCACAGATAGAGCGGCTGCAGCTGTAGGTATGACATCTTCTGCGAGCCCCGGTACGCCGCGTACGAGTCAAATCCACCGATGAAATCAACTGTGGCCACGGAGACACACGCGGCACGGGCGTGAAGCCACACACAAGGTAATCGTGCTCGCCAGGTGATGGCACGGGGTGAAGGTGGAGAAAGCAAAACAAGACAAGTCTTGGTGATGCATATTAACGCAGGTACCGCGGGCGGTGGTGTTTGGTTTTGGCACGGTAAGGAGAGGGGGCCCGTGCTTGTCAACTGTAGCGCTGCTGCTCGAGATCCCAACGGATGGCCCAATCGGGATGAAATTGTGGGGGGAAATGAAAAAAAAACGATGAGTCATAAGTATGTAGCTTGAATGTCATTTTGATCCCACTCAGCCTTAGGTTTCATCAGTTTTTTTTGTAATCGTTTGATTCTCGAGCCGATGCCGTATATCGCAGCGGTGGACGGTCGCATAGAGGCGCGAGGTAAATACGAAGCGGCGTTGCGCGCTCGTGTGCTCCACCCATTTGCAAAAACAACGGCGAGCGCATTGGGGGAAGCGATGTGCACGCGGGACTCACAGCTGTCCTCTTCCTCCGTGAACACGCTGATGACATAGCAGGCGCAGACAAAACACACCAGCTGGCGACACGTACAAAGAGAACAAGAAAACGTGAGTTCCTACTTTGTCTCGACGCTGTGCAAAGCGGGAGAGAGAGAGCGCCACGTCAGAATGGCAAACAACAGAAGCCCCCCCGCATCCCCCCACCACCTTGCACTGGTAAATATTTCCTTTTCCACCGCATCGCAATTAAATGTCAACAACAACAACACCAAACACAAATACATTTGTTCCCTTCTTTATAAATAGTTAAAAAGTGTGAAGTCAGGGGTGTGGAATTCTTCACGTTTTAAATATTTAATAAAGAAACATTTCCGTATACATCGCTTGCATGCCTGTGCAGGCGAACTTAGAATCTGAAACGGGCCCACGGTGTGGGATTTCATCCTTGTAATCCTCATTGTGAACAATTACCTTAATCTCTGTCAAACACAACATTGGCCAAGTACTGACATTTGTTTCAATTGCACCATTTCAAAGTGAGATTTCCCCCTTCGGAACGACTCTGCTCGATTCGCCCGTGTACCTGCGAAATAAGAAAGCTTCTGCCCGCTACCGTTCCATTAAGGAACCATTACGGGCAAATTGTGACCATCTGATTACAGTCCCTGGTAATCGCTTCCCATTAGATCGACTAATTCCTATCTCGCGTGGATTCTAACGACGCGGACATTAAATTAGCTGGCTACAAATGAAAAATGGCCAATTAACCCAAGAAGCCCTCGGTGCATTCAGAAATCACCGCCTAAATAAACAATGCCAAGTCGGAGGGGGCGGGGGAAATAATGATCCCGACCGTTCACTTGGGCGTGTGAATATTCACAGGCAGATTTGAGACGCGACCATCGCGAGAAAGCCACGCAGACTCCCACCCCCCCACTCGCCTGTGACGGTAAAACATGATTTGCCATTCTGAGGGTCCCATTGCACGCGGTAACGCTAAAGGTTACACCCCAACTTGGCCACGGTTTCACCTGAATGTAAAATGAGTAATGGATTTAATTTATAGGCTGCGCAATTTTTTTAAAATATTTTTTTTTCTTTGCACACTCTGCGGGGGCGGTCATGAGCGGGCATCCGCGGAGGTGGAATCGTCGCCTGACGCCACACAGCTCTGATTCGAGCCAAGCACAAAAATGTAATAAATTATTGCGCCCCGCATTTTAATGACATTCCTTGTAGAGGAAATGCTTTGACTTTGAAGTTCTGTCAACAGAAAGGGATCAGATTCAGTTTTCTTGTTTTATTTATTTTTTGGCCTCAAGGGACCGTATACGGATCATTGGTAAATTATTAATTTAAAAACTGGACCGGATCATTTCTTATCGGTGTAAAGTGCAAATAAAATCTATTTCAGTTTTCTTACAGCCTCCTTTTGTATAGTAACGTGGATTTCTCTGGCTAACCTGTCCTTTATCCCAATAAAATCCAGTGTTTGCACTTCACATTCACTCTTAATAAATTGGATTTATTTTTTTTGCTCTGTTCATCCAGAAGGGATTTTTTTTAATACAAACTGCGGCCATGTGCACACACTCCGATTGATATCAGCCGATGCCCCGCGCTCCCAATTCTCCGGCTGCCGTTGCTGTGCAAGGGTGACGCCGGCAAGACGGGATCTGCCGCGAGCAGCCGCTGCTGCAGCTGCCAGCCACGGGGTTGATTGGAGCCTCCAAATCCCGGCAATAATTCCCATTCCCGGCTCCACGCCGGGTCGCTGTTGGGGATGGTCGGAGGCTCGACACGACAAACTGCTCTTGCGCCTTTATCTTCATGCGGGTTGGAGGGCTTCATCCGAGCCCGAAATAAATAAGACCCCCTAATGAGCTCGTACTAATGGAGCGATAAGGAAGCAGATGGCAGTCTGTACGTTGTTAACCTAACAAACAAACAAAAAACCCCCGCAATCATTTTCACATCCCCTGCGAAGGACTTCTGAATACAAAAAAAATCCGCGGAGATCCGACTGTTCTTTCTCGAGATATTCACGCTCGTAGAAGAAGGCACAGCATGCCTTTGTTCAATAATCGCCAATTATTCTCCCCGGTCTTCCCTCCCCTGCCACTGATAATGAGAGTTTAAAAGCACGACAATGGCAATATAGCGACTGCACGGACATACACACACACGCACACACAGACATACACACGCACGCACACACATACACACGCACGAACACACGCACACACATGCACGCACACACGCACATACACATGCACGCACACATACACATGCACGCACACACACACATACACATGCACACACACGCATCATTCGCGGGGGGGGGGGGGGGGAGACGACGTACCGCGAGCACGATTTGGCAGGCGCTGTGGATGACCTCGACGAACTGGAACTCGAGCGGACATTCCACGACGCCCACCGCCACGGGCCCCGTCAAGCCGTCAGACACCGTGTCGCCTGCCACCGAGGGGCCCGGCAGCGCCGTGGGTGGCGCGGGGGGGCACGCCGAGCCGTAGTCCCGCCACCACGAGCGGTGGTACGAGATGTTGAACGTGAGCAGGTCGCTGTCCTGCGGAGGAAATTCGCAAATTCCGGGGGGGGGGGGGGGGGGGGGGGGGAGTTAATTTCGTCGGCGTTTCCGAAAATTGCAGACGCCAAAAACGAACGTCGCGATCGCCGTTCTCCGCCCTGGCAGCGGCCGGTCGCGAGCGTTGGACCTCGTGGCGGGCGCATGGATAATCTCGCGCGCGGAACGGTGTTGATGTTGGATCACACGCACGCACGCACGTGGATGCGTTCCCGCGCGTCCGGACGATGGCAACGCGATGAGGACAAACGCGGCGCAATTCGTCTGGCCACGCAGCAGTAGCAGCAGGCAAGACCGCCTCGAAGGGACATTCACACACGCGGCCAACGCACGCGGCACTCTCGCGTAATGCATTAATTACGGTGAAAAGCTCTTCATATTATTCCCGTTAAATGCCTCTTAATGTCAGCCCTGCTCGTGATATTCATATACATCCGCGATAGAAATGAACCGCACGCAAATATGCGCACGCGCTCATCCTACATAATATCTCCCATCTGCAGCCAGTTCCCTGTTGGGCGCCCTAAATTATTTAACGACTCGTGGCTTCTAACACTCGTACACATCCACCAGAACAATGAACACGGCCGACGGAGCCGCACACTGCGCCGTGAACCCAGCGAGCCGAGTTCGCTCCCGGGCACGGCTAACATCAATGCCGAGCGACGTCCGAACCGGTGCGGGGCACCCGCACGGACCAGCGTGGCGACGTCTGGTCATACAAACCCCGATGAACGACACAAAGCAAGGGGAGGCCTTTGTCCGACGGAAGACTGACAAAGGGCTAGCAAATCATTTCGTGTCACATTGATTGAAAACAAACTGTGCTCGCTCGTTCAGTTGTACGATCGCACGTCGATAAGTGGCTGCCGCACCACCCCCCCCCCTCTATGAATGACGCAGCCGAGTCACCGCGAAGCGCCGGGAACGCTTCACAGAGGGTCGCTGCCACCACCAGGGTCGTGACGGCTGCATATCCATCTGGCTTCTAATGACGCGCCGCTCAGGGAACCAAACAAGGCCGTTTCACTCCAGCGCTCCCCCTGTGGATCATTTTAAAATGTTAACTCGGCGCCTCGCTTGAGTGGACGGCTGTTGTTGTTTTATGGCTGTACCTATGTCACCGTGAAGAGAATTGGCCCGTCCATTAAAATCCCTTCGTGCTCCTCGCCAGCAGAGTCTAAGCGGAGTGAGAAACCATCTATCCTCTCTTCATGACCTCTCCTAAACCATACCTCCAATCGCCACACTATTTTCTGCGACACTTCACGAACGCCATCTCTCACCTGCGAATGCATTTTTTTTGTTTTATCAAGTTGGGTGGGCAGAGGTGGGGAGGGGGGAAAGGTCAAAGATGAATATCACAATTCACAATGATGCGCCGAGGCTGTCGGTGGAATATAACTGGATTTTTATTTAGAAATCGATACCACTGTACGTGCATTTGTTCAGTGGTAGTCCTGAGCAGAAAGTGGCACCACTTTTCTTGCAGCATAACTTTAGTGCCTCCAATGTATTTACACAGCTCATACGAGTGAATTATTTGAAAGCCCTCTCGTTGCTAACGGTCATCACGCCGTTCACTATTATCGGCCACGTAAATAAGTTGGAACCGCAACAGCTGACGCCATCCGCGGAGGTTACCGACGAGCGAGCTATCTACTCTGGGCTCATGGACGATGAGCCCAAAGTATACCCCGAGTTCGATTTCTTGCCACAGCTAGCATCAGTGCTGATCGATAACTGAATTGGTCTTGGATGCTCTGCTTTATAAACCCGCATTGACCAGCGCGGTGAAGAATGGTCAAACAACTCCCATGACCGACACAACGTGAGGCCTTCATCCAGCAATAGAATGACAAGGGGCTGTACATTTAAACGTGAACACACCACACGAGCGATCTGATTTTAGGAACGGTTTTTCTACCGACGAGCACATTCACTCCCCCAATGAAACTGCTGGTGCAGTGAAATACCACAGAAAACCCACGACATCCCACAGCAGTATGGGTTTCATGGAAACCATATTGTTATCACTTTGGATAATTGTTCACCTTCGTTAGATGCCAAAAAAAAACCCCACATATCCTAGTGTAATAACATGGCATGTCTCCCACAATCCACAACACGGGGTGCATTTCGAAGTAGCTTTCTGTCCACTGTTTTACACACCCAGTGCAAAATCCACAAACAACCTGTACTCAACACTTGGGCCCTCTCTCCTCAGCAAATCTGTTACATTTCGTGCCAAAAAAAATAACAATCTATCAATCCTATTTTAATTTGTGCCGCCTGCTTCTCTGCATTCCCCAAAGACGATATGCGTATCTGAAGATTCGTTTCAGACAAGACCGCGCGCCGGGCTCTTCCGTTCGCTCCGCTGCTATTGTTTCCGCTGAAATTTAATTACTTTCGCTCACAGACGGCGCAAGACGAGACAAGATGCTCACGCCATCATTTGATCGCAGCGTGCACTCGAAGGAACGGCTTTTGTTCATCGCAAAAATTATGCGCCGGGCCCAGATTTTAATCTGACACGCGTAAAAAAAAAACAGGGAGCCACAGCAGCTTTTAATATTAAACTCATTATGCAACGGGATTTATTTCTTGAGCCGTGTAAAAAAAAATATCTCTCGGTCAAAACAATGGCAAGAATTCACGGGGTCGACAAACCGCGGCGTTCTCCTGATAGCGACGGTGACGACGGTGGGTAACTTTGAAAATCGCTGCGGGGTAACGATCGTTATTCGCATTGCAGTTAGAATCAGAATATTTTATTTACCCTGGAGAAAAACGATGAGCTGGTATTTCTCACAGGCACCTTGACGGCTAAAGAAGGCCTTCCGCTCCTCCTCACAAGCTAAGAGCGCTTTACTTTGTTAATATAATTTAAGCTATACTCTTTGGTTCTTTCGGTAATTTAAGCTATTTTCGAGGAAATCTGTCATTATGGGGACCTCATTTGCCAGTAAAAATATGATAATTGGTTCTTTACCCTTCTATCTGGCAACAAAAAAGGTGTCAGTTTTGTTGCCAGATAGAAGGGTAAAGAACCAATTATCGAAATCTGTCATGATTGTATTGTTTTATAGGCACTGCTGTGTCCTGAGCCCATGCGGTAATATTCTATGAACAAAACGTTTTAGTTTCTATTGGCACGAGAGGACTTCCTGGTGGACACTGCATTCAATACACGTGAGATGCACCGTTTACTTATCAACGGGAACAATGTACAGCACTTGATGTTCTATGATTAAAATTAATAAATGCCTAAACTCCAAACTTAACTTTGTTGTGCCCAGTTGATAAGATGTCAGTTATACAAGTAAAGAAAAAAGTAATCATGCACTAAAACAACCTTTACCATTTGAAACGTGCCAGCATGACATGCCTGGAATAAATTGGTCGGGCTGGAAAGGTTCTTTGCATTCCTGGCTTGTTGCAAATTCATTTTCAGATTTTTTTTTGCGAGTTGTTTAAAAAGTAGCAAAACGTACGCTGTTCCGTGATTTTCTATCAGTAAATACATCTAAAACTTTTATCACAAAATCAACGCAACCGACCCAGTCGCTCAGTGGGCGTGCCATCGGAAGATTTCGAGTTTAAATCTTGGCTGGGGGTTGACTCGGCCCATCATCCTTATAGGTGTCTATAAAGTGAGTACTACTTTGTGGGAAAGTCATCATTGGCTCTATGGATAGATTCACCACCATAGGAATGTGGAATTTCCACCACGAGTTCATGGCTGTAGATGTGAGATGAGCATCATCTCAACGCTCATCAGAGATCACGGAAACGTTGACTCACGCAAAACAAATGTCTGCCTCGACGCCAGACCAACTTGCAATTATGGCAACACTGAAAATGCAAAAAGAAACCGTTAAAATGCCACAATGTTACTTCCGTGCAGTCTAAAACTTCCCGTCGGTCGCAACTGGCATTTACACAAAAATAAGAGTGGCCGGGAAAAACGGTAACAATGGCAACAAACCTAAGTGATGATTCTGCATAAATGAATGAATTATCATGAGATTCGTGAGCGGTAAAGGACAGCCAGGGTAGCTGGTGCCGCGCCACCAATTGCTCTGCTGCGATTCGCCACCCCCCCCCCCCCCCCGCGTGTCTCGCCGCTGCCTTGCGGACACACTGTGCATTATTAATCACGGGCCCTTAAATCGCTTCGTACATCTCATCGTTAATAGGCAAGAGGATGTGAATATAAACTCTAAAAGTACAAATATATATTACATTCATATTGTCAAGAACATGTAGCTATTATTCAATTAACCTCTACGGTTAAGTGGCCCAGTTCGAGGGAAGAAATACATAAATAACCACGGCGAAGAAGAAGAATAAACAGCTCGCACCTTCTTTTTGCTTGCACTATTTCTCTGCCGCGTGTGACTTTTCTCCTAAATAACATTATACCGTGATTCAAATGCTAGATTTTTGGTGAATGGATGTCCCGTGGGTCTAAAGTCCACCGTGCCAAGCGACCAAATCTCCTCCTGGGAGTTTCTGAGCCGTGGCGCTTGGATAATGAACCCTGTTTACCTGCCCCAACGAGCCGCTAATGTGAATTGAGCTGCTGATGATCTCGTGCGGGAATGACTCGAGCCTTTCTGTATTACCCAGCGGCGTTCCGCTCTGTGTGACGAAGGACTTTGCAGGCGCCCCAAGAACAGCACGTTGCTTCTGAGGGCTGAGGTTACGGGAGTTAATTGATTAGACGAAGAATGTGGGATGACAGCAGCTTCATCTAAAGGGAAGCACTCGAGATCTCTAAAAGGCAAACGCGCGAACGGTTTAATCTGCCCCTCAACGAGCGCCGTGGAACAATCGTGGCTCTGAATCTGTTCCCTTTCTCTTGCAACTCCAACATCCGCCGCCGTTGGATGTAAAAACAAAAACGACGACAGTTAAAAAAATAACTAAAGGAATGCGCCGTGTCCTTTTACAATTGGTCGGTGAACAACGAATTTCTGATTGACGGCCATCGCGTGCGCTCGTGCCCCATCGCGGCGCGTTCAGTCGGGACGAGTGGCGCGGTGCGGGCCGCGCGTTCGCACCGCAGTGACGGAGCGCGCTGAGCGCGTGCGCGCCACTGACGCGATCGATTGTACGTGCGCATTGCACGTTGAACTTCTTTCGCGCCGTACGTCACTAACCGTTGCTAATCGGAGGTGCGGGGGAAGGAAAACGCACCAATAACAAAAAAGCAGTTCTAAAGAAATGCGCTTTCAATCTGGATGCGAAACAAGTGAGACGGAGCGAGACACACAGAGGGAGAGTGAGACAGCGCGAGACAGAGTTAGACCGTGCCACACCTTGGCAGACAGAGCCAGACGGTGGCCAGCGGGGGCAACAGCAGAGGCGGCGAGATGCTGCTCAACCGCCTGCTATGGGCTGGGGCGATTGTGCAATGAGGAGTCTGCGAGTCGTCGTCACCCCCCCCACCCCCCCCGAGCAGGTGTCCCGAGTCCTCAAGCTGTGCCGTCGATTGCATATTTGTCGTCGTTCATGTCGCAGACGGGAATCACTGATGACTTGCGCACGGCCACCGGCTTCAATTTCCCCCCCTTCCACCCAGGAGACGGAATGAAAACGGCACTGCCCTGCATGTGATGCGATCCCGCGCGTCCGTGATGTGAATGGATTCCACCACCATCGCGTCTGGCGCTCCCTGCTTGTATCCTGCAAGATCCCTCGCCTTCTGCCACCCTGCCGCTACACTGTTAGTCCCGGGGATGTGGGGGCCTCCGTTTAGATATGTCTTCGTAGTAATAATAATAATGCCGTTGAGTTTCGTATCGCGTTGTTCGGACAAACTGCATCTCGCAATGGCCGAGGAACCAGAGGCAAACTGGAAGCCAGCCAAGGGGTGAGTCGTCACCAATGGCTGATGATGATATTTCAGTTAGGGAGTTATTGATGTTCAAGGTATGGTGAGAAATCGATGTTGTGACAATAATAATAATTGACATTCATTGTGCTCAATTTTCAGTCAGCAAATCATCATCAGCCATGTTCGATCCCCTGCTGAATGAAAGGCCTCCCCAAGCCACCGCTGCTCCCTCTTGCTACCCTCAATGTAATCATCTACTTAGCACTTGCGACCAGAGAGTCCATTCTAAAGTGTTATGATAAGTTGGTACATACAGCCTGTAATGAGATTCTATTCAAGAGCCGATTATGATCATCATTTTTGCAGCGCCGCGCCACGACAGTTCCTCCAGTGGCTGACTGCACGTGGCACGTGAACTCGTTAACGTACCACACACATCACACATCGGAAAGACTGCCATCGCTTCGTACACGTGTATCGTGAATCGATTTTATTGAGCCCCGATGAAGGCCGACACGGTGCAAGAGGGGGTGGTGTGGTCAGCACCACGGCCAGTGCGATGATTTCTTGTTGTTATTATGCGCTGCACCAGGTTCTCATGTAAGGCCGAGCCGACCGAGGGGAGGCCCAGGACTGGATCAGATATCGCTCGCTGGTGATGTGGGCAGTGGCCGGGAATCGAACTCAGGCACCCCAGATTTATTGGGCTGTCTACAGATTCTGTGTGCGTACAAAGAGCATAATACTTTACTTTAGAATAAACAAGGCAGAGTCATGAACATCGTTTAAACGGCACGTGTATGTACACTTTGTCTTTGAGCGGAGGAATGTGGAACATGAAGCTATTTCAATTCTGATCTGTAATTGTCACTTTATAATTGTCACTTTTAAACCGTCAGTTTTTAAATCGTTTTATTTTATTCCCCAGTCACAAAAATTGCCATCTGTTTTCCAGTTTTGTGCACATTTCATTATTTGCCTTGTACCTTGGCCCTTGATCAAGGCCAATTTTATTTTAAATTCCCAGCGCAAAATTGCACGTTTTATCTTGCTGGGGTTTTGTGCCTGCGCTCGTTATTTCACTTCATTTAATTCTTCTCAGGCGTCCCTTGAAAAAGTGATGATGTATTATCTCAGGGGACTGCCACCTGGCTAAATAAAGGTTTTTTTTTATTGTTGTTTGTTCACGCAGGAAGTCATCTCCGTCGTGTACACGCGCAGTGTGTGTGTGCACACTGGCGTGCGTGTGTGCGCGGTGTGCGCGCATTCAATTTTGAGAGGACAAATTGATCGCCATTCTGATGAGTGTTGGCACAGTAGTTCGCAAACAGCCCTGCAAACCTGCTCATCTGAGTGTTGATTCCCAGCCACCGCGAAACATCCCGGCGAGTAATATCTGAACCGGTCCAGGATCTCCCGAGTATATTTCAGCACCGGAAAGAGAGAAGGGGACCAGGCATGGTGCCCATTGGCCACAACACTACCTCGTCGTGTACGGTGCCAGCACTTGCTCCAACAGTCCGACAAAGGCCAATGTGGGATCGTTTTGTGTTGTGTGCCAGAGACCAGACCCGCTGCGTCAACTCTCCTTGATAATGAGAGAAGTGGCATCAGCTGTTACTGCTCGTGGAGCGTTATACAGCTCCTTCTGAGTGGCGAGCCCGGTTGAAATGGCCAACAGATAGAGGCAGGTTTTTTGGGTGTTTGCAGGGCACAGATTTTTGACTGTAAAAACCCGACCATGATTTTATTTCAATTTATTTGGTGGCTTGGAAATCAGCATGGTAATGTCCTTCCACAAAACAAATGTGCGTATGCACACACGGACCATTAATCACACGAGTGCCCATGCGCTAAATGAATACCTGCTGTAGAAAAAACATTCTTCCATCAATGACCCTAATTGGAACAACTCTGCCGGCCAAGTTTGCCACTCTACAATATTTATACTCACAGTTGCTTCATAAAATCGGCGATGTCTTGAACAATATATTCCCCATCATGGGACCTCCTTTGCCAGTACCAAAATATGATAATAGGTTTTTACCCTTTTTTCTACCAACAAAACAGGTGTTAAGATGTTAAAACACCAAACATAAATCTTTTACAAGGAATCATGTCCGTCAAAAGGCATACAGATGGCTGTACGCCTTTTGGCGTCCTCTGGTCTAACACCGTTTGAGACGAGGCTCAAAAGAAAGCTGTCTCTGGTGTGGACCAATCAGTTACAAGGATCACACGCATTGTGGTTAATGCAGACATGACTCCTTGTAAAAGGTTTCAGTTTGGTGTTTTAACATCTTAACACCTGTTTTGTTGCCAGAAAAAAGGGGAAAACCCTATTATCAATGTATTTCCCATTTACAACCCAGAGCCAGTGGCGGTGGTAGCACATTCCAAAGGCGGAGGAAAGTTCATCCATAAGACAACCACGAAGTGGTACCGATTTTATAAACCCCAGAGGGATGATGGGTCGAGTTAACACCAAACCGGTGAGCCGCCTGCTCTACCGCTGAGCCACCTGGCCATTCAGGATCGTTTTTTATTTACATTTCCTACCAATCTCCTCAAACACACGCGCACACACAGGGACACCATTCTCTCTCCGCCACGCTAGATATTCCAGGCATGCGCTGGTGACCTCTGCGTGACGTCATCGACCCGGGTGATTAGCCGTCCTCGACTGCTTCATCACACGAGCACCGCCCGGGCCACGAGGCCCTCCGAGTGTAATTTACGACGGTCGCTCCTCCCCAGGCCGGGGGGGGGGGGGGAGCTCTGCTTGAGTGGGATATTCTAAACGAGATGGATGGTCAACGGTTCGGACGGGGAAGTTCAGGCACCGCGGCTAAGCTACCGCGGTTATTAATATAAACGGAGTGCCACGCGTGGCTGCGAAAATGAAAAAGTATTTTTTTTATAACGCCGGTCGCTTGTAATTTTTTTTCCCATTCCTCTAAAAAGTTTGCAAGGCGTCTTGGCGGGCTGGGTGGGTGGGCGGTTGGGGGGGTCTGGGGGCTCACCGGCGATTTTGCCATCGGTGTGGCGGCGACGCCGCTCGCGTCCAAGCCGTGGCGACGGCGGGGACGGTGGCAGCGCGACGCAGCGTGCGGCCGGGGGACACGGCGCGCGCCGCGTCACCGTGACGGATGGTTAACGATGGCGCGTTCGACCGCCCCGTGCAAATTGAAAACATTTGTTTTTTGCGCTATTGAGCATGCGAGCGCAGGAAATTAGCTTCGCCTCCGCGATCTGTCTTCGGAGAACTGTGCCGCGTCTATGTTGCGAAAACCTGACACCCTTTTGAGCCGTAGGACCCGGCGTTATGAGTCTCTGTCAAAAGGCAAACACGCTATTTGGCGATGCTGCTGCATTGGCAGTGGTGCCCAAGCGCAATGAACAACATCAACAACACAAACGCAGCACGTTTGTCAATAATAATACTGCGGACTTCAAAAGAAAAGCATACAAGGGGCCTTCTTCATGCTATAAAGACCCAGTAAACATGGCGCGTTGGGCGAACGTCGCTCCAACAACGTTGGTCCAACGGTTCAAACCACGTGCCAACAACGTTCGCCCAACGTTACGTATTTACCGGGGGAGGGCTATTCCCAGAAATGTCGCCTGTTTTTACGTGTTTTTTTTTCAGAGGGCAGTTACGTTCCAAATCAAGGTCGCGGTGTAACCGGTGTGCCGTCAGCGAGCGCACTCATCGAGGACAAAGCCGGGAGCCACGATCCGGCCTCTGCGATCGGCGCGGGGAACGGAGGAGCCACGCACAGAGGCGCTCGAAGTCCAATCTGGGGCACGAGGAGGGGTTGGAGGATGACGTCTGCAGTCATCGTCGTCGTCACAGCCGCGCCACGGTGGCAAGCGTAGACGGTGTAGTTGTGATGGACGGGCAAGGGGCGAGATTGTGCACAAGGGAGCGCAGGGCAGTGATGGAGAGTCGACGCTCTTTTCGTTCGTTCGTTCGTTCGTCCCTCCGAGTACTTTATTGACAACCGCGCGAGAGCCAATTGGTCTAACGAGGAAGTCACCCGGAGTGCACACGAGTGCGTCACAACTCGGAGGCTCAGCAGGGCTCAGCAGGGCTGAGCCTGGAGAGTGCTTGGATGGGTGACCACCACGTCGTGAAGTGGGTGCTGTAGGTTGCTACTGCTGCGGTGCTACGGTGTCGACCGGAGTCAGTGCAGCAAACCCCACTCTTGTACTGCACTCCGCTCGAACATCTATGCTCTCCACCATCGCCAGCGAAGTGTCATGCCCAAGCCCATTTAACGGTCAATGCGACGTCTCCGTGAGTTGTGTTCGTTCCCTGTGATCCGTGCGCATCTGTTCTTGTCTCTCAGTCTAATTGCAAGCATGGGTGGCTGCGTGCACCTTTGTGCACGTTTCAGATTGTATTCCATCTCCTTTGCCGGTGGCCACGATCCATGTTCAGACTTGGCAGTGCGAAGTGATTGAAACCTTTTTTCAGACTCATTCTCCTCCTTCCACCCTGCTCTTTTATTTAATCGTTTTGATCCAAACCCACCTTCAATGACTGCCCTGGGTGCACAAATTCTTCCGAGTTTTCAAGAGGCCTCCCTTCATTTGTTATTTTATTTTGTACAGAAAACTTTTTGTACATTACGGTTGTGTTTTTTTGCCCCTGTTCATCTTAAGGTATACTTTGCTCTCCGACATATTAGGAATTGAAAGACATCAATTCTTGAACATTATTCAGTGCATGTATCGTAACCACGAAACAATATAAATCCTTGGAGCAATGCATTGCTATACGCCTAGTACATGCTATGAAGTTATGGCTCTTCATTAAGCCGGAAAGAGCTTGACTTTGACATTTTGTATTAACCAATTTCCCAAACTCTTAAGAGTGCATACATTTTTCTTCACGCTTTTAGCTCTGATAGCCTTCACTGGCATTCGTGGCGTGAAACTCCACCAATAATCTCTGCATATTTGGTTAAAGTTGAAATAAAATGAGGAAAATTGCACAAATGTATGAGTGGCAGCCGAGAAGTTTTGGGACTGAGAAATATAAAAAGGATGAAGATAAAACGTTGCCACCAAACCAACATCAGAGTTCATTTGAGGCCTCCAGATCACAGTTCGGACTTTATGTGCAAATTGGCTTAATGCATGACCACTTTGAAAGATAAAAATGACCCTTTTTGGCACATACTTTAAAATCCGAAACTCTGTGTACATATACATTGTGGAAGTACTGCATGTGACAATGATAATGATGTCAATGATTTACCTAAGAAAGTCTCATTGAGTACCAAGGCTATGTCCAGGAGGGTCCCGCATTACAACATGTGATCGGCTCCATGAGTGGCACGTGTGAGGAACCCGTAGAGCCGGGAGAAAGCCCATCGCGCACGCGAGGAGATAACACCAACAGCTCCGCACAGATAGATTCAATACACAGACTCAATACTGCGAGTGGACCAAATCTATGTGTGGACCACAACTATTGTCATGCTGCCATCTATTGCCCCCTTCCTAGCCATACGCCTACAACAGCAGGTCTTCACAGTAATTACACCCTGAAATGCCATGTTGTATGCTTATGTTCTCACCTGCTTCTAAATAAAGTGTCTTTTGTTTTATGTGTAAAGAATTTAGATTATTTCTCAATACGAGAAATAACACTGTGGTATCAAACGACCACCATTCCCCAATAAGTTACGTCTAATTGTTAAATCTTTCTGCCGCTGGAATGGTGCAAATTAAACATTTGCACTCGTGACGTTGGTGGCTTTCAGCTATAATCAGTTCACGAGAAAGGTTTACGGCTATACTTGATGCATCGAATTGAATCGTATATATACAAACACACAGACACTAATGCCGCTGAGTGAAAAGTATGCGGTGCATTGTGCTGAATACGTAATTGCATAATATGCACTCGTGGTGCCATTTATTATTGCACGGTATGGGGCTACATTTTCAACGAAGGTTTGAAATTGGCAAACGCCGGCAGGAAAACTCATTGGCAGCACGAGCCGTCCCGGTTGCTCACACAGATTACAGTCGTTTTGGTACGAGCGCCGGTCCCACCTCCGCAAAATAAAAAATCAAAATAAACTACGTGCACGTATCAAACTCCGATCACGCGATAGTGAAACGCGTCGACTTCAATTCCACTTGTGAACGGGGCTCTCGACGCAGCTGCGGCCGCGTCGGTGGCAGCCACCGTGGATCCAATTCATCGCGAGCTCCAACATGAAAGCCGAGATATCGATTTGAAATCGGCGTTGACGAACCGCAACGCGGACTCGTGTTTTACTGAAACGCGCCGCGTGGCAGGCAGGAACGAGGAGTGGTGCATTGGCGTCCTGCCCGGGGATGGACGGGAGTCAGTCGCCAATCTCAGGGGCTATGATGGGTCGATAAGCGGGCTGTGTAAGTTATTCCTTCCAAAGTGCTCCTCCCTTCCCCTCGCCCCACCCTGCTCCCTCCACTTTCTTGTTGTAAGTTCTTCAACCTCAACTCCCTGCCCCCCCGCACATGTAAACATACACACACACCCTGCTGCCCGCGGTGGGGCAGTAGCAACCCAGGTGCACGGTGTTCGGGACTGAGGTCCGTGGAGGTTTTCTATCCCACCACCCCCCACCGCGTCGCGGTTTGTGCTCTGTACCAGGCCTCAGTTGATATGCAATAAATAAATTACATTAAAATAACAAAAAACTCGTCGCGTGGCGGTGCTCCCCGGACGCAGCGCTCCAAACCCATCCGGACACCTGCGAAAAAGGAGCCTCGCAGCCCATCGGATTCCTCCAGTCCGAGTAAAGATTCTGACGAATCTGCCGCCGTATTTATCCTGCTCCTCATTAAGCGCCCTAATTAAGCTGGCGTCCTCCTGTTGCCTCTCGCGCGTGGCTTCCGCCGCTATCGCCTCAATCTGCAGACTCCGAGGCGACTTCACCGTGTCTGCATTTGCAGCCAGCCAATCACCGCTATGCATCTTAATTTGTCGTCTCTCTCTGGGTTGCTCTCTCACCGCGCCTGTTTGTTGTCCTGGCGTGACTTCACTGTCCGCGGCTCACACGTGCATGCACACTGCTTGCAAAACCCCGCACCCGTTACTACACCACACGACGATCATTCAGCCCGAGCGCTCGCTACAGGTTGCACGACTCAAGTCGTGAACGTGTATTGTGACATTAGGGGGCAGTCAGAAAGATGAATTAAGTTCGTAGGCAAGGGCTTCGTTGGAGGGGGGGGGGGGTTACCTTGCATCTGTTGAACCGGCGTGGGTTTGTTTGACGATGTTCTATTGGTGATCTGGGACAACATTATTTTCAGACGCATTTTATTCTGAAAATAACTCGCGAGGAGATGACGCAGAAAAACTCTGCACGGACACATTTACTCCACTGACTCAATGCGGCGAGTGGCCCAAATCTCTCTGTGGACGTACGGCCACACGCTCTCTATGGCCGACACGAGGAGGCCTTTGTCCGGCAGTAGTTACAAAAAACGGGGGCTGTAAATGATAATTGATTGTCGTCGCTATTTATTAAATGCCTCTACCGGCGTCCTCAGCCGCCCTCGATCGACACTTGCCCCCGCGGCTCGGGGAAGGGATTCTTCCCAAATGTCTACAAATGCCGACGGGCACGTGGAGAAGCTAGCAGAGTATATAGCGAGAGGCTAGCAGTAGAGAAGCTGGCAGAGTATATAGCGGTTCAGCGCTTGCTCGCCACGCGCCCCGAAACAAAAAGCACTGTAAGCCTCCAACGCGGCAGATTTTCGTTGTTGTTGCTTCCGCTGACAAAACTCTTCGCTTTTTTCAACGTTCCGATTTACGCGCTGACGAAGGTTAGCTGCTTTTTTTGACATTTGCCGGCGTAATGGATCGAGTGCCGCTTTGTATCGTCTTCAATCACGCGCCTTGAATTACATCCGTCCGGCGCACTCGCGACTTTTGTGTGATTTACAACGCTGCAATGTATGAACAGAGCAGCGGCCGCCCTTTCTTATTTAATCTGACGTTTTAGTTATATAAATATAAAAATATATATACATACGCTGAACTGTCAGTCACGGCTCCCCGAATCTTTTTATTTGCAAATGACTGCCGCGCGTGCCCCCCACGTGTATTGGAAAATTATCAATCATGCAGACATCCGGTCGTTATCTTTTTTCGCAATAGTGTTTTGGGGGCGCACGATGTGATGTCTCCGCTTCTGTCCGCAGCGGTGGCAAT